ACATTTATCCGACTATTCAGTGTTTTCAATGCTGTCGATATGGTCACATTAAATCACAATGTAGGTCTTCTCCCCGTTGTTTCAAATGTGGTAATGGTCACTCTGGTGACTGTTGCAATGTTGAAGAAGAAAATGTTACATGTTGCCTTTGTTCTGGATCACATTTTGCCATTAGCCGTAAATGCCCTGAGTTTTTTAGACAAAAAAATATTAAAGAATCTATGGCCAAAAGTTGTCTCTCATATGCAGAAGCTCAGAAATTACATCCTCCTATTGGTAGATCATATTCTGATGTTTTGTCTACTCCAATATCTACTACATCATCACAAATAAAAGTCTTGAATCCAAAGCCAGAAAATGTTAACAAATCTTACAAAAAGACAGTTTTTCTAAAGCCTAAAACTCCTGTACAACTTGGTAAAGGATTTGACAAAATAGCTCATGCGAAATTAACAAATGAATATGATATTCCATTACCAACAGTTGGAACAGGGTGTCATTTCAACTCCCTTCAAAACTTATCAACTCGTGATTTAATACTCACTCTTGTAAATTTTCTTTTTCAATCTTCACAAGTAATATCTGAACATTCTATACCGTCCAACACTGCCACTTTTATTGCAAATGAATCTTCAAACAACAACAATAATGGATCAGTCACAAATAATTCAGTGGAATTGTCGCAGCATTAGCTCTAAAAAAAGTGATATAATCTATTTAGCAAATACATATCAACCTTTTTTAATTTCATTACAAGAAACCTGGCTATGTCCCGGTTTTAATTTCCGAATTCCCAAATATTCTAGTGTTCGTCAAGATAGGTCAGACGGATACGGCGGAGTAGCAATCTTCGTTAGAAATAATATTATTTTTTCTCAGTTTACTATTCCAAATCATAGTTCTGATTTTTCAATTATTGCCGTTTGCATTAACAACATATGTTTTGTTTCTCTATATATTCCACACCCCTCTTCAAGTGTATTTAATGAAATAGAATCAATTTTTTCTATACTTCCCAATCCAATCTTAATCATGGGAGATTTCAATGCCCAGCATGTAACATGGGGCAGCTCCAATAGTAGTCATTATGGCTCTCGACTGTTAGATATGGTCGATAAATATAACTGGTGTATTTTAAATAGTGGTGAGGCAACTCGTCGCTCACAACCCCACGAAGGAGTCAGTGCCCCCGATCTTTCCGTCTGTTCACCTAATTTAGCTTCTATCATTTCTTGGAAAACTTTTTCTTCCACTTATGGTAGCGATCATTTTCCAATATTAATAAATTTTCCTTTAACATCATCATCTCGTACTAATAATCGCTCTCCTAGAATGAAATTTAAACTTGAAAATGCTAATTGGTTTTTGTACAAACAAGAAGTAGAACAGGTAATTTCTAACCTCCCGTCCATCGAACAAAACAATCATGAAGTTTGTGCAGAAGCCTTTGCATTGACTTTGTTGCAAGCTGCAGAAAAGGTGTTCCCAGTCAAAAATAATAATCGTAACAAGATTCCATCTCCCCCTTGGTGGGATAACGAGTATTCATTAGCAGTTAAAAAAAGAAAGCTTACAGAAAAATTATATAGAGAAAATTCTACGAACGAAAACTTTCATTTATTATCTTGTGTAATGAACGAAACAAAGAAGCTTCTTAAAAAAAGAAATGGGAAGGCTGGAAGACCTTTTGTACATCTTTATCACCTGACGTCTCACCCTCTGTAGTTTGGCAAAATATACGCCGGTTTCGATCAGCTTTTAAGGAACCTGGTGCAGATTTTCTTCCAAAGGATGTAGCAGACAACTTTTTAGATAAACTTGCTCCTCCACTAGTTCCCAATTTCTTTATCTCTATCTAATACTCATTCCCCGATAATTATTAGCAACAACTTAACCAGTCTCGATTCCCCTTTTAGCCTTGCAGAGCTCAAAGGTGTTTTATCATACGTTGAAGATTCTGCCCCAGGAACTGACGGTATACCATATTCCTTTCTATCTCATTTAAGCGAATCTAGCCTTCTTTATTTTTTAAGATTAATTAATTCCATTATGATTTCTGATAATATTCCTACTTCGTGGAAATTACAAGAAGTAATTCCAATATTAAAACCAAATAAGCCTCCTTCTGATGCGAATTCATACAGACCAATAGCCCTCTCATCCGTTCTTGCTAAATTAACCGAGCATCTAATAAAAAAATTATTGAATCTAATGAATTTCTTGCTCCGAATCAATACGGTTTTAGAAAGAGACGAAGCACTATGGATAGTCTTGGTATATTTACTACCGATATAAGATTATCCTTTAGTAACAATGAATCAACACTTGCAGCTTTCTTAGATATTAATGCTGCCTATGATAACGTTGATCTTCACGTATTAAAGCTAAAACTCCTAAAACTCAAGGTTCCTTTTTTGATCACTAATTTTATCATTAATTACTTGTCTGGTAGAGTGATTACAATTGATACGGGCGATTCAAACTATAAATATAGAACTTTATGGAAGGGTTTACCCCAGGGATGTGTTATAAGCCCTATCTTATATAATATTTATACATATGACCTAGATAAAGCTATTGTATAGATAATGTATTACAATATTCAGACGATTTGGTTTTATATGTTTCGGGACGATCTATTTTAGAAATAAGTGATATTTTAAGTAGAGCACTGTCCAACCTTAAAATTTGGTTAGACTCTAACGCTCTTAATCTCCCCGTTTCAAAAAATTGCGTAGTGTTATTTTCTAGAATGCGTATACCCCCTTCTGTTTCCGTATGTTTTGATAATAAACCTATCCCGGTACAAAACGAAATAAAATTCTTAGGAGTTATTTTAGATGCAAAATTATCAGGTTTATCTCACTGCTATTACGTTACAGCTCGATGTGAACGAGTTTTAAATATCATGAGATGCTTAACCGGTGTTTGGTGGGGTGGACACCCATATACTTTGAAACTTCTTTACAACGCTCTTTTACGGAGTATTTTAGACTATGGAAGTTACTTTCTTGAGCCATGCAATGCTGTTGGACTTAAAAAGCTTGATGGGATACAGTCTAAAGCTCTTCGCTTAATAGCCGGTGCAATGAAATCTAGCCCTATCAATGCTTTACAAGTTGAATGTGTGGACCCTCCTCTACGACTCCGGCGTCAATATCTTTCTGACAAGTTTCTGTTACGTGCTTTGCAATTTGCTAAGCATCCCCTTCATTCCAAATTATCTACTCTTTCACTCATAGTATCATCATCTTCTTACTGGAGGCTTAAATCACTACCTTGTTTAGTCGTAAGTTTTCGTAAATTTTCCTCTTTGCATTGCACATCTCCCAGCGTCTCTCTATTTTTTCTGCAGACTATGACGCTTTAACTCTTGTTCCTAAAATTTATTTTACTTTAGATATATCGCGATCCATTTATTTTTTCATTCTGCAAATGTTGATTTTAATATAATCATAGATAGAGACTGGACAGATCGACATTACATTTATAGCGATGCATCTAAAAACTCTTCCTCAGGCCACGTTGGTATTGGAGTTTATCATCAACAATCAAAAATTGTGCAAAAAATTAAATTACCACCTGAAAGTTCTGTTTTTACTGGCGAATGTTACGGATTATTTAAAGCTTTAGAATATATTAATCTTATGAAATTGCAAAAATCTGTTATATTTTCTGACTCTAAAAGTGCGCTTCAAGCACTACAAAAATTTCCTTTTAAATATACCAATCATCCTGTTATTATAGATTGTAGAAAATTTCTCTGGCAATGTCATTTAAAAGGTTTTGATGTAGTTTTTGCCTGGATACCTAGTCATGTAGGTATTTAAGGCAATGAAATTGCGGATAAACTTGCCAATGATGCTGTAGATTGTGGCGATATTTTTCCATACAAAAACTTCATTAACGATCTTTTAGGTCTTCCTAATTCGCATCTTCGTGAATCCTGGGAACAAATATGGTCTGTTTCTAGTAAAAACAAAGGAAAGCATTACTCACAAATTCAAACTTTCATTCCTACAAAGCCTTGGTTTTATAATTTTAAATTTGGCAAGAAAACGACGTCTATTGTAACTCGGATGAGACTGGGTCATGTTTGCACTCCTTCTCATCTGGCTAGATTAGGAATAGTCAATAGCAGTATGTGTAATTGTGGCGCTGATATTGGTGATTTAAACCATATTTTTTTCGCGTGCTCCTTATATGACTGTTCCTCTTTTATTGACTCCTTAACATCCCTTCGTATTCCCCTCCCGACTTCTGTAAATACTTTGCTTTATTGTATGAAGTGTGATATTTATTTATGTATTTCTAATTTTATCCAGAAACACAATATTAAACTGTAAATACTTACCTGATCCTGTCCTTCTAAATTTCCGTTCCTTTTTTATCCTGTTTCCCTACCTTTACACTTGTATGTGGCTGACGCACAAACCGTGCAGTCTATAAAGGAGAAAAGAAAAAAAAAGATTTAACAGCCTGTCAGCTCATTTTCGTTTGATTTTCCATTCGGAAAATGTATTTATTCAATAAAATAATTTACTGTAACTAAATATGTAACGTTTTAATTTATGAGCAACGAAAGAAATTAGGTAATAAGATAAGTAGGTACATATAAAAGGGGATTTAAAAAAATACTTAGGGTAAAATTTTGGTAAGGGTTGGTAACACTATTTGTTACAGCATCCATAATCATTGGACCTACTTAAATAGTAATCTGTGATTGGACCACAAACTATATAGTGATGCAGAGGACCTATTTCGGTCGCGAACTTTAAACTTGTATACCTACACAAGATTACAAAGTAAAGTAAACATATTGAATTTTATGTAATAAAGAAGAAAAAAACTTGCAGAGCGTGCAGTTTTAAAGAAAGTTTTTGAGTTTGTTTGTATACTGCTGTTGTTTTGTTTGTATACCTACATTTGGATTGGATATGTTTTTGAAAGTTGGAATCTCTAAAGAAATATTTTCTCAATTAAAGTTAAAAGCCTTTAAAATGAAAATGCGGAACAGATTATGTACTCTAGTATTTGGTGAGATACAGCTAAAAGCTCCCCCGAATAATGGAAAAAACTATGACGCATTTTCAAAAAAAAGTCAAACCCATAACTTTAACACGAGATATAATAACAGACTTGCCGTTCCATGTTTCAGACTCCAAAAATCAAGAGGTTCATTTCTGGGATGTAGTATTGCATTGTTTAACAAAGTTCCCCAAGATCTGATTGAGCTTCCACTAACCAAATTTAAATCTCAGATTAAGAATACTCTTATGAATAAGGGCTATTATAAAGTTAATGATTATCTAAATGATCGAAATGCATGGACATAGTGTTTCTTGTAATTTGTTATTTGATGGGTATGAGTCAGTTTTTGAAACAGTAATATGGTACCTATCTAATGCCGCTTCCTATATACTAAATATAAAATTTATTGTAACTATATATCTATATCCTTAATAATGTAATGGAAGGTGACTTCAGATGTATCTCTGAAATCATTTTTCAACTTGACGACTCTGTATATATCAATACAGGGAGAAAAAAGCAGCCCTTGCTGAGTTTCTTGCCGGTTCTTCTCAGTACAAGGTCTCCCGCCGTAGTTTTGCGAACCGATGGCGTAGCTTCTTGACCTTCACAAGTGCTTGTAACAGCCTAGACTGAATAAATGACTTTTCATTTCATTTTCATTTCATTTCATTTCATTTCATTTCATTTCATTTCATTTCAAAATGACAAAGAAAAAAAATCTACCTTTTCAACGAATACAGACATAAAAACAAATGTAGTTGATCATGTTCTAATTTTTATGCTACAGGGATTAACAGGAAATTACAAGCAACCTTTGTCATATTCGTTTTCAGAGGGACCCACAAACTATGTAGAACTTGCTAATTATATTAAAAATGTCATACAAGAACTACATACAGCAGGTTTCAAAGTTTTGGCCACTCTATGTAACATGAATTCCAACAATCAACAGGCTATTCAAATACTAAGAGAGGAAACAAGTAGCAGGTGTTCCAGTGAATGTTTTTTTGTAATTAATGATGATGAAATTGTTCCTCTATATGACCCTTCACACTTATTGAAAGATCTTCGAAATAACTTACTAACAAAAAATTTACAATATGAAATTGGACAAGAATCTGGCAAAGTGGCAAAATGGTCACATATGCAGTTGTTATATGATGAAAATCCTGGATATGCAAATAATAGCTTGATACCTAAATTGACAGAAAACCATGTGGTGCCTATGAAAATTAACAAAACAGAAGTGAAGTATGCAAGTCAAGTATTCAGCAGAAGTTTGGCAGTACTCATGGGATATTTGGCAGGTGATTAATAATATTAATAATCATCATTTTGTATCCTAGGGCCAAGAGGGCCATGGCCCGGGGCGGCAGGTAGGGTTACTAACTATTTTTCTATCTAATATAGTATTTTTGAACCTGATACCTCTAAAAATATAGTAAACAGCAAAAAATTTAAAAAATATAGTATGCGGTTAAAATTTTGACTTTATTTTTGAAATGAATATATTTTTGTTGCTCTATGCTCAATAAATATTTTTTATTATTAAGAAAGCTTCTACTGTGAAATGTCTGCTTTAAACAAAATATAGTAGTTAAGCCTACTATATATATTTTTTTTAGAAATATACTATTTGATCCCCTTATATAGTAGGATACTATATTATGTAGACTATGAGGGACGGCTGCAAAAGCAGTGAGGGGGGCAAAAGCTAGGTATATCAAAGCATTTGTTACTAACCTATATATTGATTCAATCTACTAATTTTAGGGGGGTGCAAATCCTAAGGAGCCCGTGGGTGCCAGATTTGTAAATACACCCCTGTTATTAATACTATATTTTTATGAATATATATTTGGTATTCACCAATGTGAATAGCAATAATTTATATTCATCAGTTATTCAATATATCCAGTACTGTCATGTCTGTTAAAAATTTAGTCCAGTAAATGCTGTGTGAATATTACCTTCGATAGTGACAGATCCCTATAAAGGATAAAGCCAATAGGCAGCACCACCCATGGTGTAGAGTTGTTAGTTAAGTATATATTAATTTTTTCAAATCTTTGCAAGCGTCTATGTTTTCCATAACAGATACAGTAGACCCCTGGTAATCTGATAAACGTTTTGTGGGACAAATGTTGGATTGTCGAATTGTTGGATTACAGAGTACTGCCTAAGCCCACTCTATAGTCTCTATAGTCCATAATTTTTGGAATAAGAGTACTTTGTGATCCGACAAATTACAAATCCAAAAATCTATTTCAATTGATTTTATGTGCAAAGCAACAATGATAAGCATGTCAGATTACAGGGTGTGCTGGAGACAGGGTCCAGTGTACCGCGAGTTTACGTAACTACAGATTATAAGAGAACTTTGTTTAGTGGATGTAAGAAAAGTTGATTTGATTTGGTTTGATTCCAGAACAAGGGGTTCTTCCTGCCGAATGCACCGAGACTGCAAATCTATTTTTGTTTCTGGACAGCTTATATGACTCTGTCAATGGAAGTCGCAACAAAGATAACAAACACAAACCTTTATTGGGACCTGTAACTCCAAGATCAGTACACAGAAAAACATGGAGAGAATCTTTAATAGCCCTGGAATCTATGCATTTTATTAATAATAGGAAAATTGAATCCACTACTCCTACCATACAGGGATGGATTGCTACATTAAAGGGTGTCCAAAAACTAACCACAAAATTACAAACCGATCACAGAATTACTTCCTTTTGGATGCAATATTTAAATCAAGATGAACTCGAAAGATTTTTCGAAGCTATAATAAGACAAATAAATCAAGAATGCTATACTTACTCATTGGTACAACAATTTCAAATGGCCTTTAGAGAAGCTTTAGTAAGAGGTTCAATTAGTGTCAATTCATCAAGTAGCAATTCTGACGATGATGGGTCTACAATCTTCTCTAAATATATGGTAGATATTCAAGAATTTGGAGTCACTAGTGAAAGTTAGGTTAACATCCATAATCTATTTACAGACACTTGGAAAATGGAATTGAAATATCTTTTTAATGATATAAGAGTCATAGATGCAGACGGGTCACTGGAGATGGTAAGTGAACTCTTATAAACACCGTCACCCATGACAATGGGCATCTGCAAAATAAACGTTATGGATAGCGATAGCCTGCATGGAGGAAAAGAAGACCAGACGACGGATGACACACCTGGACAGCCCACAGACCTGCGACCACTCGAGGCCTGCGGAGACACCAAGAGACTGCTGAGCTTCTTGGGGGAGTTGGGATGGCATGACTAAAGCCATCCTCTCATGCAAAATAGGCACCTAGTGTGAGTTGCAGAAAACACCCACCGTACAGAAGAAGAAGCGTTATGGATGAGTTGACGGCCTTCATGGAATAAGGAAGGAGTTCACCTTCTGGGATAATGTTTCTTACGAATTAATGTAGTTTTTCTTTTTTTTCGCTTCCCATTCCTTTAAGACTTTCGTTCAGACATTGTATATTTATCAATTACTTTCATCCATTTTTATTGCAGCAACTACTTGCATACTTATGAGAGGCTATTCACCTGTTGGGAGGAAATTAGATATTATGTTATAGACTGGCAACATCGACACATTTGAAGACAGTATTTAGTGACAAAAACGGCAAAATTCCAAGTGAATGTCACAGCTAATTAATATTAAGCACCGCCTCGTCGCGCTACGTCCACTCATGGTCGATGAGCAAACGTATATGAATGACGCGTGGTCAACCAGTTAACGTCAAAGGACGATGTGTGAAAGCCGCGCTTTGTGTGTTGGAGCGACACGTGGGTTATCACAATGTTTAATTTTACAGACCGTGTATTAGCTTTAATAGCTATCGCGCTTAATAAAGAAGAAAATGTCAATCACAGAATGCCCGCAGTCCACTCAGGAGCAGCGCGTTTACAACTAGCGGCCAGTACCCTTAGTACCTACGAGTTTTACAATTACGAAAACAGTGATAGTTTTTCGTGAGCTCGCTAAGGAGCTCGCACTCGTACTAAGGGTACTGATTTTATTGTTTTCGTTTGAATACAAATAAACAGTGATTAAATTCTATCATTAAATCATTTGCGTCTTCTTAAAATTTAAGTATATTTGGTTACTTTTCACCAAAATTGACATAGAAACATAATTTACAATTACGAAAACTATGATGGTTTTCGTGAGCTCAAACTCGTACTAAGGGTACAGCACAGCACAAGGCAAGCGTGTGAGCGGCGGGTGGTCACAGATTTGTCCATCCGCGGACAACTTACGAACGAGGCGATCCGGTGAATGACGGTACGAAGGTAACGTAATGTATATTGTGAGAACCTATAGAAATCCAATATCAACCGCACGAGTTGAGGCGGTGCTGGTCTAATGAGCCTTTAAGAATAATCTGGTTCCGTTTCTTAGCAACAGTGGTTATTATAGTCTAATCTTAATAACAAAGCTGTACTACTGGTAAGCCTTGGTACCTTTTACTGATGTTTGATTATTGAAACTGGCCATTAGTTAACTAGCGAAAAAGTTTGATCGATACATGTGAGCTATGGTAGCTAAAAGCAAATAAAAACTTGTTTGATCAATATGTACTGATCTAAAGTCAAAAAGATATTGTGAATTTATATTTTCGCTAGTACAAGTGCTAGTACTATGTATACGATTAAAAGTAATACTTTTACAACAAAACCTAAGCCAATTAGTCTTATATTAGCTAAATTACGACGCTTGAAAATACAAGAAGATCTCCTTTTACAGAATATCAAAAAGGACATTTACAATAATAACAACGATGAAAATATCTTTTACAACTCATGCTTAGAAATGAAACAATTCTTTAATCATATTAATAAATCTGTTCTTAATATTAAGAACCTATTTGCCGATGTTACAACCGCTACTCAATCTCAAGAAACGTTGCAATCTTTAGGTGCGTAAATTTTGTTAACTTGTGTGTTACTACATAATACATACCTGTGCCCACCTGTAAATCTGAGTAAAAGTAAATTGAAGACTACATTTTATCAGTTATTCATCAATGTTAACGTAGATTCAATGTAAAAAAATTGCAGATTTAAATGACATCAAAAAAGATATTTTGGAACTGGATGAAAAAATAAAAACGTTTAAAATGTTTCTCCAAAGTGAACAAAATATATTAAAGCAACAGGAGCAAGATATCCAAAAGGTAAAGAAAGTAGGTATTAGTTTTGGCCAAGGGCGTATTTACCCGGGCCAAAAGGGCCGTGGCCCGGGGCGGGAGGCTTCATATTTCTGCAAGGGGCGGTAAAGCCACATAAATGCGGGATTTACTCTACCCAATATTAAGGCATCCCTACCTTGCCTAAGGGTATTATGTGAGTAAGGGAGTTAGGGCGATCAACGCAATGTAATAATTGCTTACTAGGTTAAGCAATTATTATACTCTAGGGGTCACGCTCACGCCCACCCTTTCGCTTGGGCCCTTAAAATTGGGAAATCCCGTTTTGGGCATTCGTTACTGACAGCCAGAAACATATTAACGGTTCGTGGCGTGTCGTGACGCATCGGTTTCATACATTTATCATGGGTTAGAGAGAGAGGTTAGAGCGTCGACGACGTCGTAAATGTATGAAAAGGATGTGCTTCTAGCGCGCTACGACGCGACACGACACGTTAATATGTTTCTGGCTTACTGACCTTATATTTGATTTACTAATTCTAGTGGGGCAGGGGCAATGGCCCGGGGCGTCAGACTTCAATATACGCCCTTGGATCTGGCTAGCTGAAAGGTGGAAATATTATAGCTATTACCGGGGTTGTTACCATGTACCTTGTTTATTATGAGTGTCCGATATTTCGGCACTGTTGCAAGCGCCATGATCACGGAGTAACTGAAGTAATTGCGGGTAGATGTTATTGGCAGACATATCGGTGTACCCTCTGACGTCTTCTTTTGCTGCGCTCGATAGCTATAATGTTAGTGACCATGAAAGTTTAAAACAATAGGTGGAAATATTGTCCTACTAATATGAAAAATGTGAAAGTTTGTATATTTCTATGTTTATTTTACGTAATCACGCAAAACGACTGAAGGATTTGGATGAAACTTGGCACACTGTTGGCTTGTTATCAAATGCTAGTGTTACTTCAATTTCACATTTTCCAGGGGTGAGCTGTGTTATCCGCAGAGAACACAGAAACCTCTTTCTATGTTCTGTGAAGTTATTCATCGGCGTCGAATATCATTATTTACGTGTTACCTACCCAATTATTGAGCCACACCCAAATGTCACATGTTTCTTAGATCAAACACTTGTTTGATATATATGAATATGTAACAAAAACACATCGCAGAAGACCAAGTTTTAAAACTTATCTGCTATTTACCGTGGGCTACAGATTACTTACCTACATAAGAGGATTCACGACAATACAAAGTACTGTGACTGTGACAAATCTCAAAGACCATTGTGTTTTAAGATCCATATACCTAAAGGTTAAATAAAACAGTGAGTACCTTTATTAACTTGGACTTTTTTTCAGATTATAGAATCCAAAAGTCAGCACATAAAAATTAAAGTTTTGAAAGGAGTCTCAACAAAGAGTTATAGTGATATAATACCGAGTCCAGTCAAAAACTTAATCAACTCACCACATAGATGCTCGGTAAGTGATTTTTCAAATTAATATTGTAACCCATCATATTTATAAATTCACACAGTGCTTAAGAAACTATAGGAATTTACTATTGCCTTTTTTACATAGCTTTTTGAATAACTTATTTGTATACTAAAGTATCAAATTGGTATGGCGCACTATACTGAACATCGTCGTGTCGATGTCTCGCTCTCGCTCATTCTACTCGGGCAGGCCCGCGGTCGTATTTACCTAAACTGCAGCAGCGGAATTTTGTGAAGGACTCTCAATAAAATATGGTCCGAAAAAAATATTTAGACCCACCCAACCTGTGCTAAATAAAGAAGTGGTTGTGGAATGGCACTTTCCGAGAGAGATGTAATTAGCTGGGCCGTGTATGAAAATCTACGGAAACCTCCGCTATCTATTATAGTAATCCAAAACTGTCCATGCCGAGTAAATGACTCCAATCGAGTCAAAATGTGTAAATGACTCAACGAGTCCGAAATGAGTAAATGACTCATATTTTCTTTCTTTCTTTTGTTAAATTCAGCTTCATTATTTATTCAGGAAGTTCAAAACCTTCAAGATTTTTTAAATGTAACTGCTAAATACGGAGGATGGAATGAATATTATCATAACATGTTCGTCAAGTATTGGCAAAAGAATATAAAAAATGAAAAAGACAATACAATCGATAAAAATAACTTAGATGAAGCACAATTCGATCTACTCGTTAACGATTTCCTTAAAAAGGTTCCTGGTCAGTACATTACCTCTTAAGTACTTAATTTTATTAATTTATTTTATATTGATTTAATAAACGTTGTATTCAGAAGCTTTAATCTGAATTTATGATTTAGGCTTCCAACGCGAAGACGTGACTGCTCATATTAAATGGTATTCAACGTATTTGCACCTAAAATCATGTCAACAACGAGCTTTAGAAGAATGGAGAGCAAAAACTAAACCATTAAGAGCCAATAAACAATCGGAGGCAAGTCTTACTTTCATAAGCGTATTTTGAATTAATAAAACTTCGATGGAGGTTCGAGTCCCGCCCGTCTGCTGTCTGGTTCGCGTGGAATTTTTTCGAGTATAATTTTCTTTACATTTAAACATCTAGCAGTTAAATGCTTAAAAATATAATAAATGGCTTTTGTTGCTCCTCGCAGCTCTTGCTCCGCCCCGGGCCATGGCCCTTTTGGCCCTAGGACAAATACTTAATTCGCCCCTGCTTACCTTTCCAACAATATACGATCCAAAACCCTATTTTAAATTCAGTGTTAATTGCAGAGTTTGCACTAATATCAGGTAATTTTGCCTAAGATGTAAAATTAAAACTTTTCAAAGCTATAAAATTAAACGCGTTTACAGGAAAAAAAGGAATCTGTTGGGAAATATGAACGTGGAAATTGTTCATGTAAGCGGAAGCTTTCGGGGAAATCTCACGGAAACGGTTGGTAGCTTTTTATCATTCTGTTTTTATACAAGGCAGAGCAAGTTACAGAGCAGGCTGACCACATGCCGGAAGCTAGACTTTTGTGCCGGATCCTATCGAAAGACTTGTTCAGAATTATATATTTAGTTGTAAAATGCAGAGTTGGTCTATTCTATATTTTCTTTTGTTTGCCGTATTTTATATTATTTTGTAATATTTACAGAACCCCACAAGACTGCAATGGACTCGTTCTTGAATGAAAACAGGACGTAAGTTACTCACATATATTTATTTTCAATACTAGTGGCCCGCCCTCGCTTCGCTTCGGTGTAGAGCTGTAGTGTAGACTATAGTTTTTGTTCTCAGGATTGTATTATACACAATGAATTTCTTTATATAATTATCAATCTGCAATAAAAAAAATATTTACCTGATAGTGAACATTTTGTTGCGTAGTTTAGGACCCGTTGTACTGAAAACACTTTTGTTTTGGTTGACCGCGCAAATCTCAGGAACCAATGGTCCGATTTAAAAAAATCTTTTAGTGTTAGATAGTGCATTTATTGAAGAAGTCCTAAAGCTATATAATATTACGCTGCCACCAGTAGGAGCAGAGTATCGATGTAAAATGTTGCAAAGACGAGTAAAAATATTCCATTTGGGAGATTCCGTTGCGTGCGCTGCGTAAATGATTAAAGTTACACAAAAATCATGTGTGACGCAATTGTTCCCCTTTAAAAGTTCTATAAAAAAAGTCCGCGACAGCTTAAGCACATCTCTTAAGTTTTACTCACTATAACCTCAAATTAACGCGGGTGAAACCGCGGGGACCTTTAATTGTGACATAACTGTAATTGTTACATATAATATGTTATTGTTTTTTTTGTAGATATTTAAGTCCTCTATAAAACTTTACTACATCACTTTGCTCTATTGTCAATGACTCCCGCAGCGTAAGCGATATAAGGTTATTTTTTGGTATTTTTTTCAGACCCTGGATTACATTGGTGCCAATTCTGGCGTGATTCTCTAAACTTTAAACTAAATTTAACATCAGTCTCTCCTTTTCATTCTGTATAGAGAATGACAAGGATATACTGCTGTCAACTTTAAGTTTAGGTTTAGAGAATCATGCTAGAATCGACACCATTATCGAATTTGCCATAAGGAAATCTAACTTTTTTGAAAATACTCTATCTATAGCCTATGTTCATCAGGTATAATGTAGGATTCTAAATGTGTAAGAATTTTTCAAATTGGTCCAGTAATTTCGGAGCCTATTTAATACAAACAAACAACCAAATCTTTCTTCTTTTTAAAATTAGTATAGTTTTTGTTATTTTTAGCACAACGGTTTAATGAAAAAGTAAGTAGTAAGCTGAATCTATGGAATATTGATCATTTTAGAAAGACATTTATTAATGACGCTAAAATTTGTTCTAAAGTTAAAAGATTTTATAGATATCGATAAAAGCGTGTTGGTAGGTACGCTACGGTTTAATACAATTTATTAAAGTAGAATTTCAATTTTGCTTGTTCTGCAGGCTGTCATCAAATACCGAAGAGCATCAGTTTTATGACTGCCTCAATGTGAACGAAAATCTTAATGAAATAAGAAAGTCGCTAGTTCCAACTGAGGTTTCGAATAAGAGAATCCTTACATATGGCTTTGCTAAACCCACTAAGCAGTGGAATATGAAATGCAATGCCCTGAAGGATCCTTTGCTAAGAGAGCTTAACATTGAAAATAAGTCAAAACGGTAAGAATTCACATACACTCGGCGTCAAAAAAATCCTCCACGAAAATAAAACTTTCAAGCGTTATCATAACCCTTAACACGCGTTTACCCCCATCAATATTGGTGTCATTTGAAAGCCCATAAATTACCTTAAAAATATATTCAATATTTATTTTTATTGGAACAGTGCAAAAAACAAGATTTGTTTGCATAATTTAACATAAGAAGGAGATGGAAAGCCTCTCTTGAGTTTGTTTCGCCGGTTCTTCTCAGAAAGGTCTCCCAATTTTGGAACCGGTGGTAGTTTACGGTAGGTCAAATAAATAAACTCAAAATTACAAAAAAAGAATTTTAAATAAAATACTTTATTAAGTAAATTAAATAATAAATTCATGCATAGACAATAAAACTTTAAAAATCGAACAATGAAATAACCGAACGCTCAATAAAAGTCTTTCGAAGGTAGCTCGACAAATTAAATAAAAGTTTAATTCTGACGACGTAGCCTGTAAAGGCTACGAAACGTCAATAAATAAATAAAGTTTCATGCATTAACCCGTAAAAACTAGTTTTATTTAATGAGTGATGTGCGTGAAAACCTAAGAAACAAATAAGAAAGTTTACAAAACAATAAAAATCCTTTTTTAAGTCTTAAATAAAAACAGATTAATTACACAAAAAAAATGAAAAAGGTTCTTAAAACTAACCAAAAACCTAGTGTTGCCCTCCCTTGTCCGGATGCCGGCTTTCATACGCCGGATGATCCATGAGGGACATGGATCTTACCAATTTTAAGAGCTCTTCTTGAGGGATACTGGCCCATTCCTTAATAACGGCCTCTTCGATCTCATGGAGCACGACTCTCCATCGGGATCACGAGACCGAACCTTGCGTTTTCAAATGGTCCCAGAGGTGCTCTATCGGGTTCAGGTCTGAAGTTCTCGCTGGCCACTGCATGACAGGGATCCCAACCTCTTAAAGGTAGTCGTCGCGCACAATTACTGTAAACCCCTCTCCAACAAAACCGGCATAGGGGTAACCACATGCGTTTCCAGGATCTCTGTCACGTACCAGTGAGCATTCAGCGACCGTTGCTCGCGAGCACTTACAGTCCGAGAGACGCTTACAAAACCGGTTTTGCCGTCGGCCGACATGCCGCCCCAAAACATACAGGAACCGCCCCGTATTCCACCGTCTCCTGGATGCGGGCTTGGGCGAAACGTTTCCCTTGTCTTCTGTCCACTCTTCTGCGTCTATCGTTGCAGGAAAGGCACACTTTCGTCTCGTCTGGGAAGAGAACAGCTCTCTATTGGTCAAGGGTCCAATTGACGCGGTCGTGAGCATACTGCAAGCGGGTTTGCCGATGCTCTACGGTAAATTTTAGCAGCTCTACGAGCCGCTATCTTCTCCTCCCTCAGTCTTCGTCTAACCGTAGAAATACTCACGGTTGTTCTGCGAACTGCTGTTGCAACTCAACAGCATTAGAGAAACAATTTCTTAAAGATGTCCGGCGCGGCCCGAAGCAGCGCGCGCGAGCGCGCTACCCTGCTGCTGTTAGATTGGAGTTCCCCGCCCGCTGTGGGGCCAGGACAGGTACTTCCGTTTTATTTTCAAGATAAGATTGAAGGCACTGAATGTTAGTTAGGGGTCCGTTCGCATGCATGAAGGCTCATATGCGGTCCAATAACCCACATTGAACTTGTATTAACACTTTTATACCCACTAAAGGTAGTGCAACTAGTGGCCCTTTTGAGGAGCAAAATTGGCAAGTCACATTTGTGGTATCAAGCCTTTTTTTTAAAGAAATGAATAGTTTTTTTTTAGTTTATTTAATGGGCTTTCAAATGATACCAATATTGGTGGCAGTACATGTTAAGGGTTAATAACACTTGAAAGTTATTATCGCGCAGGTGCGATTTTTTTTGACACCGAGTGTGGTTATGTTAGAATTTAAAAAAAATGTGATTTTATAACACCCAAAACCTAGAACAAAAAATGAGACTAGGTTTACTTCTCATACAAAATATGAGCAAATCATGCAAGTTGACGCAAATAGAGAATCCAGCTTAGTTCCCAACGCTCATAATTTTATGATCCGTTTATCTTCGTCACCCAACCGTCGCGGGTTGTAAATCGAGAGTGGAGCGCCAGATTTTTAAATACGCCCCTGCACTTAACCAATTAAAAGTTAGTCTAGAAGAATATGGTAAAGTATTGAAGACTACTGGGTGCTCGTGATTTCGCTGGTGGAAAAAATTGTTTTTCAAACAAACTTGCAGCCCTTTTTCACCTCCTTAAAGGATGATTTATATAAGATAAAAAGTATCCCTTGTCCTTCCCCGGGACTCAAACTATCTATACCAAATTTCATCTAAATCAGTTCAGCATTTTAAGCATGATGAGGTAATAGACAGACATACATTGGCATTTATAATATTAGTATGAATTAAGGTAGTCGCTAAGTTGCTTGATATACCTAAAAAATAGCATTTAAAAAAATATATACATCTTAACTTAAGGCCACTTGCCAAGCTACTGCGAATTACTGCATCAATTTCTATCACGAAATGAATGATTGTAGTCATATATTTGTGTACTACTACAAATAAGTTCCCGAATCAAGTAAATTGATAATGAAGTAGGTGCCTGCCTACCTAAAAATAATTTATTTTTTATTTTTCAGAGGAACGCCTGCTTGGAGACTTGTTTTACAAGAGTATTAAAAATGTTAGCTAAAAGAATGAGGTTGATATTTCTACCAGTGATATTTTTCATTAAAACAATCTGAAAATAATTAGTAATTTTATTTCATACTATAAATAAATAAATATTTCCAACACTCACACTAATTAGCCTAGCCCTAAAGTAAGCAGTTAAGCACTATAGGCTTGCGTTATGGGATACTAGGGTAACGGATAGAATACATATACTGTTCATATATATATATGAACAGTATATGTATAATACATATTAAACGTGACATGACTGGAGTACAATTGGTCGTATTCATCACACAAAGGTTTACTCCACCTGGATTCGAACCCGGGACCTCTCAGCCACTCACACGGGAGGGACACGATATAGAGTAGAAAGTATCGATACTGTACTCATGAGTAGTATCGGTAAAAAAAGTATTGTACTCGTAAAAGTATCGATACTTCAAAGTATCCAGTACATTTCATAGGGCCTTATCGGAGCCTCTGAGGCTTGATGAGCAACCCCCCCCTCCCCCCGGTGTTAAAATTGAAAGAAAAACAATCGAATTTTACTATAGTACGTATAATCAGAAACAAAAAAGGACATGTAAATTCACAAATTGCTATATTATATAATGAAAAGAAAATAGCTGTGATTTCTGACAATAAAAAAGTGTTCCTTAATATTACATTCATGATTAAAATGTTAATTAGAAAGATCAAAATCTTAAACAATTTAAAAGTATGAAACTTTTCAGATTTGTTTCAAATTAAACTTACTTTTCCTGAATTTTAATCATTAAAAAACATTATACCCACTTATGTTAACTTGAATCTGACACGTAGTTAACGGCTGCCATTGACATGCTTCACTCAAGATTATAATTATAGAAGAGGTAACGTCTGTCTGTGGTTTCAAATAGGTATACACAGCACAGACAGAATAATAGTGTTACACTTGAATAAATCAAATACAGTCAAGCGAAAAGCACAATGAACGGCGAATCAATCACAGTTCCTAACAATATGGTCGCTAAATAAATAACTATGAAACAAAACAAAGCGCAAAATAAACACAGTCACAGATTGGAAAGAATTTGAATAAGTCAGTTACTGACTTTTTAACAACGCAGTAGGGCATTTGACAGTATTAAAAACAAAGTGCTAAAATAACGAAAAAGATATTAGTTTTTATCTATTGTCACGTAACCCAAAACGCTTGGGATTGGCGGAGCTTAAAATGACGTCACACGCAAGTAAACTTCCGGTCAAAGTGACATTAGTGTACGGCCAGAGTGCACTCAGATTCAGATTCAGACTCCGAAAACAAGCGCGAGAAATAAACAGTGTAGTTAAAGCAGGTTGCCTGCTGCCACTATGGCCGACTTACTTGCGTGTGACGTCATTTTAAGCTCCGCCAATCCCAAGCGTTTTGGGTTACGTGACAATAAATAAAAACTAATATCTTTTTCGTTATTTTAGCACTTTGTTTTTAATACTGTCAAATGCCCTACTGCGTTGTTAAAAAGTCAGTAACTGACTTATTCAAATTCTTTCCAATCTGTGACTGTGTTTATTTTGCGCTTTGTTTTGTTTCATAGTTATTTATTTAGCGACCATATTGTTAGGAACTGTGATTGATTCGCCGTTCATTGTGCTTTTCGCTTGACTGTATTTGATTTATTCAAGTGTAACACTATTATTCTGTCTGTGCTGTGTATACCTATTTGAAACCACAGACAGACGTTACCTCTTCTATAATTATAATCTTGAGTGAAGCATGTCAATGGCAGCCGTTAACTACGTGTCAGATTCAAGTTAACATAAGTGGGTATAATGTTTTTTAATGATTAAAATTCAGGAAAAGTAAGTTTAATTTGAAACAAATCTGAAAAGTTTCATACTTTTAAATTGTTTAAGATTTTGATCTTTCTAATTAACATTTTAATCATGAATGTAATATTAAGGAACACTTTTTTATTGTCAGGAATCACAGCTATTTTCTTTTCATTATATAATATAGCAATTTGTGAATTTACATGTCCTTTTTTGTTTCTGATTATACGTACTATAGTAAAATTCGATTGTTTTTCTTTCAATTTTAACACCGGGGGGAGGGGGGGGTTGCTCATCAAGCCTCAGAGGCTCCGATAAGGCCCTATGAAATGTACTGGATACTTTGAAGTATCGATACTTTTACGAGTACAATACTTTTTTTACCGATACTACTCATGAGTACAGTATCGATACTTTCTACTCTATATCGTGTCCCTCCCGTGTGAGTGGCTGAGAGGTCCCGGGTTCGAATCCAGGTGGAGTAAACCTTTGTGTGATGAATACGACCAATTGTACTCCAGTCATGTCACGTTTAATATGTATTATACATATACTGTTCATATATATAGTAGTTAAAGCAGGGTGGCCATAGTGGCAGCAGGCAACCTGCTTCGACTACACTGTTTATTTCTCGCGCTTGTTTTCAGAATCTGAATCTGAATCTGAATCTGAGTGCACTCTGGCCGTACCCTTAGGGTACCCTTAGGGTGCGGCCAGAGTGCACTCAGATTCAGATTCAGATTCTGAAAACAAGCGCGAGAAATAAACAGTGTAGTCTAAGCAGGTTGCCTGCTTTTTCTCGCGCTTTGTTTTCTGAGTCTGAATCTGAATCTGAATCAGGAGTGCACTCTGGCCGTACCCTTCGACTACACTGTTTATTTCTCGCGCTTGTTTTCGAAATCTGAATCTGAATCTGAGTGCACTCTGGCCGCACCCTTACGTTGTATCGTTTGACGTTTTAATAACAGTCGTGTGACGTCACACACTAGTAAGACGCCATATTGTCCAGAGAAATGTTTTCGCGGCAACTTGAAAATGGAGTTTTTGATAATTTGAAATACACGACAGAATGATGAACTTTTAACGGACTCCATAAACATTAGTCAATAATGTGAGATCGTTGCCTAAAACTTGTCAAATACCCTATGGAACGTTTTAGAAGGTTTGCTATGATTTAACAAGATGGCGTTGCCATCAATATGAGGCGATTATCCAAAATTTTAAAGGTATCGATACTTGCCAAAAAGTACTCATTTAGTAAAAGTATCGAATATAAAGTATCGGTATCGAAAGGAAAAGTACTCGATACCACAAAGTATCGATACTTTTTTCGTGTCCCTTCGTAACACTGACAGCTCAAGTCACGACCATCCGTCAGTGACAGACCGACAGTGGATGGGTGGTAAAATAAAACATTTTGCTTTATCTAATGAACATTTAAAATGTTTACACGTTCAAGATCAATTTTTACTAAAGCACATTCATTGAGAGTATGTATTCTTTTTGTTTCATTATGTAACTTATCTAAAGAATCCTTTATGTTTTGCTAACCCATTCGATTTTCTTTTCAGAATTTAATCAAACCGGAATTGCAAAATGAAACTCGTGTTGTGTATAATATCACCGCAACTAGAAGCCGGTCTACTACTCCTCTTAATACTGTTATAATGTTTGTTCCTCAACAAGAGGTTTGTGCGAATTGAAATAGTTAAATGTTAGATTTTTCAATACAATTATAATTTTAAAAGTTTTATAAATTTTTAGGCATGGGTAGTTGAACGCATGGGCAAATTTCATAGAATATTGGAACCAGGCTTAAACCTGCTGTGGCCAATTGTGGATAAGATAAAATATGTTCAGAGTTTAAAAGAAATAGCTATAGATGTCCCAAAACAAAGTGCTATTACATCTGATAATGTCACACTAAGTATTGATGGAGTACTGTATCTTCGAATTATTGATCCATATCTAGGTAAGCATCTGTGTCCTAGTTGAGGTTCACCCTTCGTTCAGTGCTACACAATTGAAATTCAAATCTATTTAATCTACAAAAATTTCATCTTATTTCATCATATACTAATAATATGCCAAGTTAACTTGGCATTGCTGTCAAGAATGTAGTCACCAGTCTTATGACTATTTTATCTAAAAATATTGAATTAAATGCTTTAGTGAAACATTGAATTAATCATACCACTTTAGTGTTACATTTAATTAGATCAATAGATATTATGCCTTGTGTATTCTTGATAGCCAAGACACTGGTTGATAATGCAAAACCAAAATGAGGCAGAATTTAATTTCACTTATAATGTTACTTTTTCAGCATCTTATGGAGTTGAAGATCCAGAGTTTGCCATCACACAGCTTGCTCAAACTACAATGAGATCAGAACTAGGGCAAATATCATTGGACAAAGTGTTCAGAGAGAGAGAATCCTTGAATGTTTCCATTGTTCATGCTATAAATAAAGCAAGTGAAGCTTGGGGCATTACTTGTCTCAGATATGAAATTCGTAAGTAAAGATTTTATTTCTTTAAAGGAGACTTAATTTTCAATTGTTTAGTCAAGATATTTGATGCAAATTAATCGTTACAAAAATCTTGTTGTTTATCCTTGTTCTAGTTTAGAGGTGCATTAAGTATTACTTTAACATTACGTATCAGTTTCTGATCATAAAAAATCATTTTACTTATTTATGATTCCTAAAGATTTATGCAGATTCAGTAATAAAAATTACAGCATTTTCAATATTGGATTTAAATAATGTTAAATTGTTTATATATTTAATTGTTTTATAATGATATAGCTGTGCCTGATATGTTGGAATATAACAATGTGTTATAGGTAGGTGCCATGATATTTATGGTGAAGTGAAGAGCTCGGCTTTCATTAGGGTTTTTTTTTGTAAATGATTTTAGGTAAATTGTGTGGAGCATTAAATATAGACTAAAGGGGTTATTACAGGCAAAAGAGCTAATGCATTCATTCAGAACAAATTAAGAACTTATAAAAAGGAATAATTCCATAATACACAATTTTTACATAACTATAACCATTTATGTAGTGCATGTAACAGAAGTGCTGAAAATGATATTTTATGTTTTACCATTTTCTCAAAAAAATTTCATTGATAGTTCGCTGCTATTAGTCGTAGCGTTATGTTATATAGCCATGCCTTCCTCAATACATGCACTATCCAACACAAAAGGAATTTTTCAAATTGGACCAGTCCTGAGTTTGGAGTATTCAAACAAAAAAACAAACTCTTTAGCTTTATAAAATTAGTATAATATGTATGAAAATAAAGATTACTGTTTCACTTTAAGCGAAATTTAAATTGAATGTAGTAAATCTAAGGAAAAAGAAAATCTAGTAAAATTTTCTTTAGTTAAATGCTTAAAAAATTAATTAAATGTAGTAATTTAAAAAGGTGACATAAAACTGCCCACTCGAGTTCATGAAGCAATGCAAATGCAAGTGGAAGCCGAGCGAAGAAAGAGGGCAGCCATACTTGAATCAGAAGGAGTTCGAGCTGCTGATATTAATGTTGCAGAGGGAAAACGACAAGCTAGAATACTTGCATCAGGTAACATCATTCATATAATGACAACATTGTATCAATCTGGTAAAGAGCAGCATTAATTAAATTTTATTAGAAACATTTTTCAAATTTCACTTCAGTTCAATGCCTGGACCGTGGAACTTTCACTTCAATTCAATTTTCCAATTTCAAAGTTGCACTTGGTCCAGGCATCAAACAGGAATATAGGACCCTTTCTGGAACCAGGCATCAGACAGGAATACAGGACCCTTTCTGGAATTTTCTTTAGATTTTTATATCTACTAGTCTGGTGCAAAACTTAAACTAGCAATATAAGGGGGCATCCATAAATTACGTGGTGTCTTTTGAATTTTCTATCCCCCCCCCCCCCTGGTGAGATGTCGTGAGATTTTATTCAACTCCCTCCTCCATCCCCCAATCTCGCGTGAGATTTTTCAAAATGTGGGTTTCTTACGTAAACGCGTTAGATTGTAATTGTAAAAAGAAAAAAAAATGCTTCGTGTAGATAAGTCCGACACATGACTCCACCCCACCTGATGTTAAGTGAAGGTGAAGTCCAGACGCGAAGATAGCTGATACGGGCCATTTTCAAATTCGTCGCAGGTTTTCGTGTCCCTCCAGATTCTATATTTTTTTTTTTATTAATAATAATTGTTTGTTGTGAGTTATATAAATAAAAAACAATTTAATAAAGAAAACATACAACAGGAAAAAATTGCGACATATTTTTTTTCCACTTTTTTTAAGTAACAGAATGGTAATGTTTGGTAACATAGTTGTTTTCCATACAAAGTTATCGTGTCCCATATAGTAATACAGTAACATCATAGACGAATAATTCGTTTGTCTCGTTTATTAATAAACTAAAATTAATTACATTAGTAAATACATTAATTTATAATTTACGTTTAATACTTTAGAACGAAATATCGTGAAAAATTTTAATTCTTTCGATTTTTTTTTTATTTTGTCCCGCGTTACGTAAGTATTCATGGCGGCACTCTGTTACTTTAGTAAATTCGACCCAGAAATAAAAATGGCGCTACCACGCCACCTAAATAAAATTGACACGGTGTCAGAGACTTTTCGAGAAGGTGTGAAGGGGCGGTAGTTGAATGCAACGCCAGTCAGACAGCCGAACGTTGTGGGAGGAGGCGCGTGTGTTTAATCAGCAGCCAATTTGTTACCGATACTTTTACGTAAGTAATCAGTATTTTTTATATGTTTTTACGTTATATATGTAGTATGAGGTGGGCATTTGTTTAAGATGTAGCAATTACATCACTTCATGCTTTATATTGTGATTAATTATTAAAGGAATATAAAATTTACCATTCTGTTATCAAACAACTCTGTTACTACTTTAACGTACCATAGTTGTAAGCTGAGTAACAGAGTAGTATTTTGTTCAGTCTGTGCCCTCATTTGTATATCAATTCGAGTGATAATACATTTAATCTACGAAAATATAAATCTTAGTGGTACTTAATGTTTTGTTTCAGGTCTTTTTGTACTTCTGCCTGCTTTCTAGGATGGTTCTTACGCCTGCTGAAAAGCAGCGACGATATAGGGAACGACCTAAAAATAACACTGAAAGAGAGGCGGCAAATAATAAAAAGACCTTGAAAGATGCCATGCAAAGAAACGTAACGTTAAAGATTTAACGAGCAGGGAACCCAGAATGATGACACCACCATGTTTACGTACTCCAAGTCCACAAAGCGGAAATCAAGTAATTCCACGAATTTTGCCGTCTTTTTGCCGTTTATCAACACCCCAAAGTCAGTGGATAAAACTGCAAAAAAAAATGTTTTTGACCGATTTATAGTAGCCTTTTGAAAATTTACTTACAATTGTCCCAGAGCCAAAAAAAGTATACAAAGACAAAAGAGTGAATAAAGATTTTGTAAGATTTAAGGCAAAATATAAAGTTTGTTATTTAATAAAAAGTAACAGAGTTGCTTATGATTTTATTTTAATAAACATAAAGAATAAATTGAAATTTTGTTTTTGTTTGTTTTTGAAAGTTTGAAGACTAATTATATTTGTGATACCTAATTATTTGTGATTGATAAGTTCATTATTTAAATAAAATAATATTTCCATTGGTAACAGAGTAGTATTTATTTACGCCAAGAGACCTTAAATCTATAAAATAATCCAAAATTATTAAAAAAGTATCGCGGCCAATAACAGAATACCAAAATTTAATGTTTATTTTTGTCATAAGTTAATAAAATACAGATGTAGAAATAGTTTATAAAAAATATATTTTAGGAAGTTAACGTAAGGGAAACATGCAGTGAATTTGAAAATGGCCCATACAGCAGTTCTACCTGCCACACCGGCCATCCTCACCCTGTCGGCCTGCATGTTGCTTCTTCACGCCTCTTTTAAAGGATCCCATGTTGTAAGAGAGAGGGAACACGTGAGCGGGTAGAGCATTCCATTTACGGATAGTGTGACAAAGAAATGAGTCGCCAAATTTCTTTGTACGCGGCCAGCACGCGTGGTCCTCTGAAGGAAAGGGGAAGGTGGAATAAGAGAGAATAACTCCTCAGAACACTCGCCGTGGTACAGACGATAGAACGCGCTTAGTGACGCCACAATAATTAATATAATAATAATAAATAAATTCTTTCTTTAAATGCTCAACTATTAAATATTTCTTTAAAATAATAAAGGCTCTGTTTCCATATTTGTAAATGAATATGTAAAAAAAATATCTCTGTGCTATGCTTTGTTCCATCCAGTACTGAGAAAAATAATGTTCTTTTTGATAGAGGCTGAAAAGCAGGAACAAATAAACAAAGCGTCTGGAGAAGCGCAGGCGATGTTAGCTGTTGCTGAAGCACGAGCTCGAGGACTCAAGCTTGTCGCCAACGCATTAGCTGATAGGGTAAGAAATTATAACGGACTTTGAAATTGTGCGTAAAATGGCCACATAAATGAAAGATTATTACTGTCAAATTATCTCAAGGAGCTCGATTGCACAGGTGATTAGCATATTTTCGGCCTGCGATCGTGGAAATTAAGCAACTTTCGCAATGGTCGGTTATTTATTTGTATTCAGGCATCGTAGGCCCATAGAAATATATACCATATAGTCTAATATAGATTGGATGGGTGACCAAAAAATTATTACCTCGTGCCTAAGGAGGCACGTTGAGCCCTTTTGTCGTTACCACCCACCAATCCTTACTGGGCCTGTGTGGTGGGTCACCGCCCAATTCCCCTATTCCATCCATAGGGAAGGCCTGTAGGACCATTATTATATGATGATGAACGTCAAATTGTCAATTTTTAAATGAAACAAGTTTTAAGATATTTCGTGTCCAATATTGCCATTTTCTATACATATAATAAAATGTACATTGAATATTTTTTTTAAAGAATAGTTGGGGTGTGATCTACAATCGATACCGAAGGCAAAAATAAAGTTTTTAGAATTTTTGTCTGTTTGTCTGTTATAAATAAATATTAATTAGAAATCGGGTCAACATATAGGCTACATATTATCACGAAACTCCGCCCCTAAGGGGTTAATACGGGGGTTGGAAGTTTGTATGGAAGTCCTGTTTTTGAAGTAGGAGACTTGATATTTAACATGTATGCTTTATAGATGGTGAAGAGGTGTACTAATGATGTACTTTTAGAAATAAACCCCCATTTGGGGTCAAAAAGTATGTGCAAATAAGTAACTCCAAGCGTACGAGTCGCGGGCGGCCGCTAGTATGAAATAATCACTTTTACTGTATTAATTGCCAGGATAGTAAACACGCTGCGTCACTGACACTGGCAGAACAATACGTAGCTGCATTTAACAAACTAGCTCGGACAAACAATACGCTGATCTTGCCGGCCAACGCGGGCGATGTATCCAATATTGTTGCTCAGGTAATATTTTGATCACATTTTTATTTGACAAACAGGTATTCATCTCTCGCAACCACAATTTTATTTGAGCGTTTGCCTATTGGCACGGCGAGCGGTAGCGGTTAGGCGATGATAATTAAATAGTCATTTATTGTTTAAAACTTTCATGGTCAATAACATTATAGCTATTAATATACATCTAACATCATAGCCTTGTTTTTTATGAGTCTCCGATATTTCAGCACTGTTGCAAGCGCCATGATATCATTCTCCTTGAAACAGGAGACTCATAAAAAACAAGGTACATAGTAATCATCCCGTTAAAAGCTATAATAGTCATTTAGCCTTATTCTGGCATGATTTTATCTTTTCGCATTAGTATTTCATTGTTTCGCTTTCGAAGATAATTCGCCTGATCGCCTCTCAGGCAGTATTATAGAAAGATCCTCAGTGATTGATCTAGTCTTGAGCGTAGTTAGAAATGTACTCAAGTAAAGATCAACACTTTAGTTGTCATTCTGTAATACGGGCCTTAGTGTACGTAAACTGACCCTAAAACTATTGTAGAGACAACAAAATGACATTCTCCTTCATGACCGATACCAAAGCACTTATTCTTGTTAAAACTAATCAATCCTTCTCTGTTAGTGTGAAGGCCAACTTAAGTGTTTACGATAAACTTTTTTCCCCAATTCCCAAGCTGTCAATATATTCCACTGTGACTGCGCACAACATGCAGTCCATACAAAGTCAGCCCTCCATCTCAGAAGAAGAATACGACGATCCTCTAGTCCAGTGGTTCTCAAACTTTTTAAATGACGGAACCCTTTTGGGAAGCAAAATACTTGATGGAACCCTACAATAAAACAATTATTTTTATAAGTGTATTCTATATTAATCAGCATAATAAAAGTACAATGTATCCGTTACTAATTATTATTTACTTCACCACTTGGTAAGGACAATAATAGAAAACATTAAAAAAGAAAAAATCTAACTAGTGGGAGGTATGAAACTGTTTTTTATTTTTCATCAATTGCTTGATATCAGGTTTGATGGAAGAAAGTTGGAGTCTCATATCAGCTTCGGCGTCCAGTCTATTGCGATATTTTGTTTTCGTGGCTGCGTAGGTAGAGAATCCTGTTTCGCACAAATATGTAGTTGGGAACGGGAGAAGAATATCCAGAGCCATTTGGCCAAGCATTGCATATTCATCTTGGATTCTGCACCAAAAATCATTAAGAGGCGTCGTTTTGAACAATGACTCCATACTTGTGTCTGATGACATTTCTAAAAGAGATTCATATATCTCATTTGACATGTTTTCAGGCTTTTCCAAGTTGGGTAAAAAAGGATTATGAATCCAGGAGTTCACTTTAATTTTTGTATTGTGTTCTTCGGGAAAATACTTTTCAAAAGATGCGCGCATCGAACTGAGATATTGGACCAATTCTTCAAACACATTATCTTCAAACATTTCTGAGTCGTTTTCGCTAACAAACTCAGTGGTAACGTAAAACTTTCTATTTCTTTCTTACCAATGCAAATGATCCAAAAATCTAATTTTCTTTTAAAAGTAGTTATTTTATTATAGGCCTGAAACACTGTTGTCTGTTTACCTTGCAATGATAAATTTAATTCGTTAAGTTTTTGAAAGATATCCGCCATAAAAGACAATCGGAACAACCAAGTTTTATCATACAAACGGTCCTTCAAATTAAAAGAAGTATCTGCTGAAAGAAACATTTGTAACTCGGCTCTAAGTTCAAATAGCCTTGTTAAAGTTTTTCCCCGAGACAGCCATCGCACTTCTGTATGGAGCAGCAGTGTTTTATGTTTGCTGCCATAATCTTCACACAATAATGAGAACAATCGGGATTGTAGTGGTCGTGATTTGATAAAATTAATTATTTTTACCGCTTCATCCATAACTAATTTTAGATTAGACGGCATTTGCTTCATCGCAAGTGCTTGTCTATGCAGAATACAATGACTGGAACTACAATTAGGCGCTTTATTTTTCATTCGTGACACTGCTCCTGCTGTTTTACCTGTCATCGCCTTGGCCCCATCTGTACAAATGTCAATGCAATTGTTCCAACTGAGATTATGTTCTTCAAAAAATATATTTATTTTATTAAAAATTTCTTCCCCGGTAGTGTTTGTAAGCAGCGATGAACACATAAGCATGTCTTCTTCAAAAGAACTTTTATATGGATATCTCACAATAACCAGCAGGATAGCCAAACCAGCGACATCAGTCGACTCGTCCATTTGCAAAGCGAATCGTGTATTTTGTAGACGTGTAACTAGTTCTTGTTTGACGTAGCTTGCCAGATCATGGATTCGTCGTGAAACAGTATCGTTTGATAGCGGAACAGTAGAAAGATGCTTTGCAGATTTTTCATCAAGCATACATTTTGTTATGTCTAATACACATGGTTTTATTAATTTCTCAGCGATAGTGTGCGCTTCACCTGCTTGTGCAATGCGATAGCTAACTAAGTATGATGCCTCCGTGGCCTTTTCGTTGGTAGTTTGTGTTACATGCATCATATTTTTTTGACTTTCTAATAACTGATCTTTTTTGCGAACAAAAAATTCTTTATTCTTGTCTTTAGTCTCGGGGTGTACGGTTTCTAAATGTCGACGCAATTTGGCAGGTGCCATGGAACTATTAGGAAGCAGTTTACTACAGAGCATGCAGAGAGGTGAGCCGTTGGAATCAACAAATCCGAAACTGATATAAGATTCATCATACTTCCTTTTTTTCGTCTTTGAAACCGTCGAGCTTGACGTCGTGGCACTCGTGGCATCATCTTCTGGATCGGTGATTGCTAAATTCTCCGCGCGCATTGCTTTTGAACATTCAGCGTCATTAGAAGATGTTGTTGGAACACGTTTAACACCTTTAAGCCAACGTTCCATTCTTCTTTATTTATAATGTTACAAGTCAGGATAGTGGGGTTTAAATAATGCACAATCGTTACTGCGTATAAGAGACTAAATTTAGAACCTACAGGGAAGAAATGTATAAAACTGAGACAACAGAATACAGCAGGCAGTAAAACAATGAACACCAGTTTCTCGCTAGCGAGCTTGTAAGTAGGTAGTAACTTATCGCTCCGAACGCTAATCATCAACTGACGACGCCAACGCGCGATCGCCGCTTTTATACTTAGTCCTAGACTCGATCTCAAATATTCTCGAAAATACTCGAGTCGGCACCTTTGATAAACAAAAAGCAAAAATAAAAACAGAAATTTAAAAATAGCGTTGTAAACAATATCGACTTTATCCTTTGAAGTTAGAGACGAAAGTCGCTAGTTGACAACTATAGCGTCTAATTCAGAGGCGGCTTTTATCAAAGAGACTGAGCGCTTACAAGTATACCTACCCGCTCGTTTTAAGTTTGCCGCTGGCGATAGGTATGAGTGTATGACGTTCGAAATTTTTTATTTAATTGTAACAATAAAAATTGTGTACGTTAGATATTTGGGTAAAACTATGACACATTATAAGTTTTGTTGTCACGTGGGGGAGGGTACGCGCATTCCACAGACCGGCAAACTTAGAGCGAACGCGTTGTACAAGTATAAAATTGTTGAGACCAAACTTATGAGATATTGTACCAGCTAATGTAACACAAGCTTATACAAATACAAATAAATAAATAAATAACATTCATAGCGTTTTGTCTCCGCGCGGCCGCGGAGTCCGCACAGCCGCGGAGCGACCAGAGAGAGGTGTTTTGATTTTTTTATTTCTAAATTCTTGCGGAACCCCGACAGAGGTATCACGGAACCCTAGGGTTCCGCGGAACACACTTAGAGTATAGCTGCTCTAGTCAAACTGAGACTTAAGTGAAATTTATGATAAACTTTTCCCCCAATTTCTAGGCTATGTCAATATATTCCACTGTGACTGCGCACAACATGCAGTCCATACAAAGTCAGCCCTCCACCTCAGAAGTAGAATACGACGATCTTCTAGTCAAACTGAGACTTAAGTAAAATTTATGATCAGCTTTTTTCCCAATTTCCAGGCTATGTCAATATATTCCACTGTGACTGCGCACAATATGCAGTCCATACAAAGTCAGCCCTCCATCTCAGAAGTAGAATACGACGATCCTCTAGTCAAACTGAATGCGCTAACAGAAAGGGGCTCAACTATGGCCGGTCAAGCGGTGCCCAGAGAAGACGACAGCCTAGCCGAATATTTCTCAGACGATGAAGAAAGAGAGAAAGCGTTGCAAGCACAAAAGGAGAAAAAGCATCAGAATGTACAAAAACTGGATAGAGATACGTAGACTTGTTAAGTAGTGATTGTTGTTGGTAAATAAAATTACTTGAAATAATTCCTGTAGAAATTTTATTGTTGTATTGTCACATTCTTAACTTTAAAACTATAGTAATGAATGTTACTGAATCTTACAAATTATAATGCGGGTATATAGACTACGAGATTATTGTTTCAATTTCAATTGGACAATATAATATGGAATGTTGGCTATGCAAACAATTATGTCACACAATACATGTGTTGATTATGTATGACTCATAATTTATACCTAGTAATAAACAAAAGTAGTAGAAATTAAGCAAGCTGGACAATGGGTGATCCATAATGTATCATCTTGAACTCCTTGTTTCAGAAGGATGTTAAGCTGTTGCTATATTTGCAATCGTTAGCTTCTACCAATCCGCACTTACCTAGCGTAATGGGCCATCCCTATTCACCCAAAGGGAAGGCCTGCCCCAGCAGATAATAATAATATAATTGGTTTCGTTCTTATAAAAAAAATAATTGATATCTATTTTCTAACAAAGCAGACTAGCAGAACAATCATATTTCTAAGCTCATGCATATTAAAGCCATTATTATTTATCTTAAAATAAATATACCTTTGAAATACTCTTACAAAAATATAATTATGTATAACAAATGGCTGAATAAATACACATCAGTCTGTTTTTGGGAGCTACTCGATATTTATTCATTTGATGACAAAAAAGCCACTTTGAACTCTGTGTAAGTGGAGTTACTAGTCACACTTGCTAAATTGTAAGTGCTTTTTTAAGCCTCTTTGTGGTTAAATTACTGTAAGTATTTCATAATTTCTTAATTTAAATAAAATTGTGTATAAGAATAGGCTAGTTGACACTTTTTGAAAATATGTTTTAAATGGTTAATAATTGTTCTATTAGATCGAAAAAAATGTATTGTATTTTTTTGACCTAGAAAGCTACAAAACTTTAAAATTGATTTTTCATGGACATACAAAAACGCTGTCATTTTAGTCTATAGATTATCTATGCTGTGACGTCAACAAAATAGTAAGCAAACACTGAAGCACGTAAGAAATAACTTGAATCTGAATTTATATTATAAAACCATGATTTCTAATAGATTTCATGATGAATATAGTAATTGTCACGATTGTATTATACGAGAATGTAAAAACACATAGTTAAAGACTCCAGAAAAGTTGTGATTTAAATTGCCTAGAGAAATACACATGAACACATGTTTAAAACTTGCTAAATCCTGTAATTTATCATCTGAAAGTCATTTTTTTAGTAAAGATCACTTTAATGTCAGTACTCATTGAATAATATCTAAAGTTTAAAATACAATTTTTAAGGTTATGAATGTACTTACTAAGTCAAAGTTAAGTCGTTTCTGCTTTTACAAATCCGGCATCCAGCATTAATTTAATCAGCAAAATCTATAAACGGAAACTTTTCTATAAGATATAAGAGTTTTTAGAAATATTGTAGTCTGACGAAAGAAACCACAGTAACACAACAATGACGTTTAGTTGTTTACTAATTTGTTGACGTCACAATCATGGTGGACAGCGTTAGTGCTTAAAAAGCATAGACTAAAAAACTATTTTTCAAATTATATTACTACAGCCCTCTTCTAATTTTATGAAGTGAAATCAATGTATTTAGGTTCCTCATACCTAAAATTATAAGAAATAAACATTTGTATAGTGCAATTTGACATGAGTCAACTAGCCTATTGGCAATAATATTCTTTAAGATCACCCCTACTTATTGATTAGTTAGTAGCTCTCAACATTAGAATGACATATCAGTATTCTCCTGTAATATTTGTTGAAAGTGTAACAGTTATGACTAGGTGATTTTAACAAATTTTTCACGCTGATTAAAATAGCTGACAGTTCCTTCTTCCGGCTGATTAATTGCATTTGTGACAGGCAGTTTGTGTAAATTAAGATATGATGCTGTTAGTTCTGTACCATCAAACTGTCGTAAATGAATCTGTAAACAAATGAAAGTGTCATTATTCTAACAGTTCAAAGTAGGAAAATGATTTATTTAGTAAGTTATTGTTAAAGCCAAATTGGAGATCCTACATAATTTTTTTTTAAAGATTCAACATGAATTATGATGAAGTTATAAAACTTACTAATAAATGCAAATTAACTTCATCACTTCTGCTCAAATATGGGAAGTTGCCTCCACTTTTTAAATGTGCCAGCTTTGCTAGAGGATATGACTTGTACATGTCTTCACGCACTTGTGGACTCAAAGCACTGTCATCCCAGACATCCATTATAGTTACAGGAATGTTACTCAATAATTGTGGCTGAACATAATGGGGTGAACAATTTAATGTCAATCTCGATGCTAGTTCCGACTGATTCAGGGATTCTAACTGAAATGACATGATAGATAGATTAACACTTTATTATAACATCAAATACATAATTACATTACATTCACAAACAAGGTAGTTTAATTAAGATTTATATGAAAACAAATATTCAGATAAATACCATGTGCAGTTAGTTGATGGGATATTACCGTAATATTTTTTCTATTGTTTTTTTTTGTTTTGAACATTTCTTTCAACAATACAGGATAAGAGTACAGCATTTATCAACACAGGTGTTTAGTACAGGTTAAGGAAAACATCTTCATTAGTCACAACAGTAGGTTCTTATGTACATACATACATACTTATATGAATAAAGATAACAATATTAATATACTTACCCTTTCAACCATAAAATCAATAGACTCCGCTATTCTTCTATCAACCTTGTCTGTTGTGAAATTTCCCATGAGCATCCTTTTCAAAACTAGTGATGGTAAAAGCCAAAATAATGCAGAAGAATCATTGTATTCGAATACAGATGTGTCTGTGAAACTATTGCAAAGGACTAGCGATGCAACCTTTGGACAGTTTCTAGTATATTCCGCAAAGATTTGTGCAATGAAGCCCCCTAGAAAAAATAATATTGTATTTTCATAATATATTTTAAAACAACAGTTTCGAAATCCAGATGGGTAATGTAATGTTTACACAAAAACATAAATATCATTATTTTTATTAGGCATTTATAAAGATTAGAAATATCAGATAACTATTGTGAAATTACTTCATCATTTACATTTGTTGGAATAAACCTATATTGTAAAATAACTTACCCAGTGAAGCCCCAAAAAGATGGACTTTATCCAATTCCAAATAATCTATAAGTCTCTTGAATCCATCACACCACTCTTTCAGGTTCCAATACGGAGGTGGTTCAGCAGATATCACACGAACACCTCTGGAGGCTAAACCCATAACTTGCTGGAAAAAAATATCCGCAGTCCCTGACACTGGTGGCAGACATATTAGAGGGCAAGTAACAGATTTCGGACCACAATCAAATATTCTCCATGCCTGGAAAGTTTTGGTAATATTATATAATAAATATAAGATATTAATTAATAAGAAAAATATCAAAAGCATATGAAAATCTCTCTCTAGTTATAATAATTATAGAGGAACGGGGCGGGGTGAAAAGATATTGTTTACCTTGCTCAAACAAGAATGTCTTGTTGACCAATGTGATAAAGCTAGCATTGAAGTAAGAGAAAAACAATTACTTTTACCTTAGAACTATCAGAATCCACTACAACTTTTCTTAATGGAATACTGCTGCGAAAACTTAGATATTCATTAGATTGAGATATATCGCTTACACAGCTCATATCTATGATTTTTTTTAAAAATACTACACGAATATTTTCTCCACGCACTTTGTTTACGTTGCTTATGTCAAACGTGACAGTGACAGTCAAGCTCAGTGTTGCCAAATGAGGAATTTAAAACGCGGTAAGGGTGGTAGCTTTCCAATTACAGCATTATAGCGCATTATGCGGCATAATGCTTAATGTTGAGTGTTCCAACTACAGCAACGCTTCGCACAATTGAGCACTCTCAAAAGTAATGCTTTCGTGTGATGCGTGCAATCGTACCAACTCAGAGACAGAAAATTAACAAGTGTTTTTTGTTTAAGTTGGCATTGATCGAAATGTTTTATTTATATGATATCGTTAGTAATATTATTTATTGTTGAAAAATTATTAAAACTTTCGTTTCATTATAGTTTTTTTTTTAAATAATCAAAGTTAATTCAAACTGTGTTAAAAATTAAATATAAATATGGATGAAGGTACAAACATTGACTTTTAATTTCAACACTGAACTTAGCGCACTCTGCTGGTGCATTTGAAAACTAATTCACGTTCCAATTAAGCATCAGCATAATTCGGAATTGCGCGCCACTGAGTCGCATTATGCTCTGTAATTGGAAAACCACCTCTGGAAAGCGGATTTGTCTAGTCACACTAGATGCGGCCAGTTGTATTCAATTCACTTGCAATGTAAGCGAGTGTTCAAACACGATCGACCAATAAGGGCTGGGCTGTCCGCGGACACGGCGGCTGTGACACCCATTACGGGGCACTTACGATTTTCACCCCGAAAAATTAAATTTATTATTTCATAAATCAAAACAAAGAAGAATACATGGCTCAACTTATAGTCCAGTCACGTTAGGGGTTACACCTCGGAATAAGAAGTAAAAAGCTGGAAAGGAGATGTTTCAACAGTGGTAGTCGGTTTCCGGCAGCGACGAACCATATACCATTTGAAAGATTTTTTTATATATTAACATGAACAGATTTTAAAAATTTAACAATTTCGTAAGGTGCTGGCCACCTTGACCTAAGTTACGTCATAACCAAAGCCAGAATAAAAAAAAGACATTTTTTTAGTGTATGACAGCATAAACTTCCACTTAATCACTTTGGCAAATATCAATCGGTCCAGTCATACAAGATCACGGCGTGGAATCTTCATAGTAAAAAGTTAGACCAATTTTGTGGCCATAGACAAGGAACGGTACTATAGAATCTGACATTTCTTACTTATTCAGTTTTTAAATGTGAGAGGATTGGCACGGAGTGCCATAACCTGAACGACGAGGACGACATCATGCATGATGGCGGGCCATTAGAACCACAGATCACTATATATTATTATGTAGCAAGCTAATTAGAACTATTGGCGGACGCGGCTTCGCGGGAGTTTATAAACTCCTTGATCTTTAAATGTAATCTTATTAATCTGTGCTCTTTGACGCGGACGCGGAGAACGGGACTAACGGAAAAGGGATGAAGAGGGCGAGGGAAATGTCAGATTCTAAAGTACTGTTCCTTGTCTTTGGCCACAAAATAATAGTTTTAGGCATGACTGGTTGATTGAGATTTGCCAATGTGATTAAGTGGAAGTTTAAGCTGCCACACACTAAAAAAATGACTCTTTTTATATGACGTTACTTAGGACGGGGTGCTCTTTCGCATCCTTTCGCTGGGTGACGGGATCAGAGTAGTAGATTTCATCTGTGCCGACGTTCCAAAGGTCGAGATCAACGGTCTTCAGCCACGTCAAAAAATGAGTCAGCCAGCATTTTGGCTTCGCTGCCCATCCCACTGTCAACTCGGAACCGTATCGCTCACCTAGCTTTGCGTTAAAATTCCCCATCATAACACTGATAAAATAGGTCGAGATAAGTTTTGATTTTCCTATGTTGTTCAAGACTCACTTAACACCACACGGCCCATAAGGGCCGCGCGGGAAAAAACATTGCACGGTCAAACACCGCACGGCCCATATGGGCCGCGCTCCCCACGGGACTATAAGCCATTTTTTGTGAAGGTTAGAGGCTACTTTTGTATGAAGAAGTTTTACCATAGATTAACTTGGCGAAATGACCTATCTTTAGAGCCGTAAAGTTTTCACCTACTCTGTGTAGTTTTTTTTTTTGCGTCGTTGAAAAAGTGGAATTTTTTTGGTCGAATTGAGGTTACGTGTATGTAATTTATCTTTTTTTTCATGGTAAATGCTTAATTTTATAGGGAAAGTGTTATAAAGTGTGTTGTTCTGCTTACAATATACCTTTATAGATAATTGGTTGTATAAAATACTTCGTAATAAAAATGATTTTCATGTTCAATACTGACAAAATTTCTTAGGTTGTTTCAAAGTTATTTGTGATGATTGAGTTTCGGTAATATAAATAAGTGTTTACAATAAGCAATTGAAACTCGTTTACAGTTAGTTTTTACATCGCTGATAACAAATTATTGTTAGAAACTCCTCATAAAGATAAGGGAATGTCTGTGTATAAAGATCAAAAATGGGGTATCGTCTGTCAATTCCTAGCAAGCCATTTTGACTCTTATATGTACGGCGTCACGGGCGTAACCTACTTGCAGTCGATTTGAACCTCTTTTCGTAGGCGTATTGATAGGTACGTATCGATAGTCACGAGATAAAAATAATGAATTGTCGATAGATCGACTAAAATTGTGGTGGTGGCATTGTAGGGCGAGTTTATGTTTAGCTAATTTATTGTTACTGTTTTAGAATGGTAGTTTTACATATAACAAAATAAAATAAATTCATGCAGTAAATATGGTGATAATGGCTAAGTAAATATAGTGGTTTTCTTTTTTTTGGATTTTATAGTATGTCTTCGTGGCGCTAAGACCAGGACCCAACCGCCGATTTTTTATTCCTGCTCTATAAAGATAAAGAGGGTGAGGAGCAGCAAATGAGTGATGCAGCAGAAGATACTTTCAATTTAGCAATATATTCAAAGTTCGTTTGAGTATTGTATCAATAAAAAGAACTCAAGAATGAGAGAACAAACTTTATTATTTCTATTGATATCTACGGTTTCGGGTTTATTACCAATAAAAAAAACCTAAAGTACGTGAAGTCAATTTTTTTCCACTGTGTATGGTAGTTTTATTTTTAGCTATATTTATCCATATCCTTGTTGATAATAGGAATAATTACACTGTAAATAAAAATCAATTAAAAACAGTACCAAATGTGTTTTTATTTATAAATAACAGAACAAATATCGATAAAACTATAAAAGTGAAGGCACGGCAAGATACATCCCTACTTTGTTTTTTGTTCGTTGGGTCGGGTCGGACTCTGGTTTCAAGTGCTGTTTTTGTTATCAACAATGGGGTCTTTCATTAGTTTGTTTACATAAGTGGGCAGTTTAGATATATGATTCTCGGCATCCGCCCGTTTTTTCGTTTATTTTACATCGTAAAGTGCGTAAAGTAGTGTAAACTTTGGGCATCTCAAAAAAATATAACGTATTGATAATTGCCATAATTTTTTTACCCGACTGAAAGAAAATTTATCAATTAGTAAATTCTCGTTCACGCAATGATAATTAATGATTTGGCTACAGCGTAATATATTTTTTTTTGTCGCGCGGAAGCCATTTTGATTGAAGCCGCCATTTCGTTTATAGATGACGTAATCAGCATATCTCAAATTTCACTTCCCGTTTTGACAGGTTAAAGAAAATTGTTTAGGCAAAAGTGGTTGTGACTTAATATGTGGGTGGTGTTCTTACATCTAAGTGCCCACGCTGACTGTAGGTCGGCTTCGAGATGCTCTAGTACGGGACAGCGTAAGCGGGTCAAGAGGGGGTAGAGGACGGGGTGTAAAGAGAGAGAATAGGCAGATAGTACAGAGAGAGGATAGACGAAAGTATAGTGATATATGCATGCACATAATAGTTGTAGGTTGTGTATGTATGACCATGATTAGCATATGTATTTCCTATAGGAGGCCCAGGAGGCCCAGGAGGTCCAGGAGGCCCAGGAGGCCCGGGGTACCAGGAGGTCCAGGGGGCCCAGGAGGCCCAGGTAGCCGAGGAAGTCCCGGGGGGGCCAGGCGGCTCGCAGGGTGCCAGAAGGACAGGGCTCGCAAGAGTTCGAAGGAATAAAGGACGCAAAGGCCCCCGAGGCCCCCAGGATCCCAAAGACCTCCAGGAACTGGGGACCCGCAGGAACCAGGCGGCCACCAGGGCCCCCATGCCCCCCGGACCTCCCGTGCTCACAGGGCCAGAGAGCCTCGGAGGGCCTAGAGGGTCGACTGAGAAGAAAAGGTAATTTACAAATGGATGTTGTTTTAACAAATCAGCATTGCTAGACAGTTGGAGAAAACATGAGGTACGGTAAATTAACAATGTAAACAATGAAAACAATGATTGGTCTAAGTGGGTATCTTAATACGCATAACAGTTCTTATATAAGTCCTTATGACTAGTGGTACGATGTATTGTTGTTTAGGGAATGACAGTAATCAGTGGAGGAAGAAGAAGAAAGTGGCGACATGAACAATCAAATGATGGTTTTGTATGTTATGCCTATATGCGTGTGCATAATGGTAGAATAGTATTCATAACAATAATAATAATGATCGATTGATAATTGTTAGATAACATGGTCGAGGTATGTTAGGCTTTACCTCTCTCTTTGCTTAGGTTGCCTCTATCACACCTTGTCTTATTAAGATAATTTACTTAAATATTCATACTAGGTATCCAACCTGAAGTACAACCTTATTCAAGGTGGCACATTAAAATGTTAATCACATTCTAAGAAATCCAACCTGCTAACCTGGTTGGATGTCGAATGGCTAGGCTGGAAAATAGGAATAAGGGGGTCATCCATAAAGTAGGTACGTCCGTCACACAAAGGACATTGCTCAGCTTCCATACATGTTTGGCCTAAAGACCAATAATCATGAAAAATTGTTTCCTAGATTCGAAATTATATATAAATTACCGTAGAAACGAATATTATTGACAGACACCCCTGAGAACTTCTATAAACCATATACACAGAACATATTAAAATAATAAAAAACAAATAAGTTATATAGTAAAATAGGGAAATCAAGCCAAGTACCGAAATTATGGATTAGATTCAGGTATATAGAGCATGTAGATTAACAGATAGTTGCCTGTTTTTAAAGTTAATGCATAAGAGTAACTTCAAGTAAATCAGGTGTCATTTCCGGTTATAAACAGAAACTCTGTGATGATTGTGAATGAGACACAGATTAGAGAGAATTTTTAAACTCTCGTTAACCAAAGAAAGCTAAGAGATTTAGGTTCTATAGCCATATATTCAGTAGCTTCATTATTTTTGTTATGTTTTTAAGATAACCATATTTTAGATTTTTAGTGTATCACACCTTATAATTTTATTTATTTATTGATTTATAGTCAGGGAACGTAGGCCCACAGATAGATACCTTATAGTCTAACATATATACAGATTATAATGTGTTTATGGAGGTGTTTGGCGAAAAATGTATGGCAATAGATTTTATGATGTCGCCTACCATCTATAATAATTGCCTGAGCACATTTGCATCTAGAGAAAATGAAATAGAGTTGTGGATATTAATACCACAGTGTAATAAAAAAAATGATTTATTTTATCGATCTTTACAAAATAGATTTGTTTTTATGTTATTTATACAACTTCGATAGGTCTTTGGCTGAATGTTACTACACCCATAGCCATTAAAAATGATTCGTATGTTTTCCAAACCGGTATAATTAAAAGTCCTTTTCAAAGTAAATATATTATACAAAGGTGTCCGTTGAAATCTAATGACTGTAAATTAAATTATAAATTACGCCAAGAATTACCGTGTATGTCAATATTTTTTGTGCATTTGGGCCAATTTGAGCAATCTCCTTTCGTGATTTTTCTACTCCTCTCCCATCCTTGTCACAGTTGGTTACATTTCTGAGCCTGAGAATTTTTGCAAATGCCCGGCTTTGGCGGCCATCATTGTTGACCGCCTCATCAGCCTCATGCCGCTGTAATCGAAATGAGCAGCGGGTATGGATCGGGTAAACCCATTAGCATTGCATTATTGCATTGGCCCACTAGTTGAGTTGGTTGATTCCCAAAACGGAAACTACGCCTTTTTCACAGGCATAATTCATCCTGCTGATTTAGTGGGTGGGTGGTCCGCAGACGTCGACAGATGCATTAGCAGGTGGATCACCATGAGCCGACCACACGACTGACGTCTGTAGGTAATTCAACATTAAAAAATAAATGTTGAGATCGTAGCAGCTGCTACTTGAGGTAAATTGCAGTAGAATTATTTGTTTCGTAAGTGCTCATAATATTAGCCATTTCGGCGAACGAGGGATAATTTTAAGATATTATCGCATGAAAACACAATGTATCTCACATATTATATTAAATTAGATTGTTGAGTGCAATTGCCAAAGCATTTTTATTTAAAACACAAGATTTTTAGTATTGATATGGTCAGAATAAGATGTTGTTAGGTGAGTTAATACGTAATAACTCAAGACAGAAGGTTCCATTTAGGGACTGAATAAATTAACCAATTTGACATAACATGGATCTCACAGCTTTTGACGGTAGAAGAAGTTGAACTGAGTTGCGAGACTTGGTTTTTTAAAAGTTATGTTTTTGATGGTATTATATTTATATGAAAAGCTTCTATGATTATTTGTTTTAATGTAGATAGGGGTATATGAGTAGGAATTACTTGTAGACGTGGAGATGATCAACACCAACACCTTAGTCTTGCATCCATAGAATTAAAAAGATGGGAATAAAATCACAATTTGCATTCAAACACATTTTGTTTATTCTATTTACCATAACATAATTAACATTCTCGTGGTGTATTTCTCTACTACAATCCTTCAAACAACTTATAAAGTAGCTTATTAAATAACTAATTGTTAAGTTTTGGACGATTCTTTTAAGTTTACCAGAAATTAGTCGATATCAAAAGGTATATATAACTCGCGCCAATAAAGAAACTAATTAAAAATCTACGACTACCCAAGAAATTCTGTCCCTTTCGCACATCCTTTCAGGAACAATGCGCGAAAATGATTTGAATTGCGTCGCCATTTTCGATTCATTTACTGGCGTGAGTTCTAGCAGTTTTTTAAGTAGGTCTTTTTATTATATTGTTAGGTAACGAGTTAAGTTGTACATGTATATATAACTATATCGAAATTTAGATGCCCAAACAGTAGGTAGTTTATTAATCTAAAACTTATAAATACACATAGAAGTATCTATATAAATTAGCTTAATGCGTGCTACCATTCATTATTATACCTAGCATTTTCACTTAATGTACATCACTGATAATTTCGGTTTCCGATAATAACTATTACATGAATGTACTCTATTTCTATTATCTTAATATCATACTGTAACTTTTTGTTAAGTATTATCATAATAATGATTTGAGCATACTTTCCGAACAATGAAAGTTGACAATTATTAATTAGTATTATAATTCTCTGTACACTTGGATTTTGTCAACGAATGCCGTTACTATATACACATTTCAAATATAGGTAGGTCTTAATTATTTAAAATTTCTTGTAGAAAGCATGCGATTTTTAATAGATAAGTATCTCTAGAAACAATCTGAACCACCAAATAAATATAGTTTAAGCACAAAATAGTTGTTATTTTTAACTATTTAGAAATTCAAAATAATTACAATGTTTTAAAATGCTCGAAAAATAGAAGATTATATATAAGCATCAATAATGATAAAATTAAACTAATATTCATATCAAAACAAAATGAGGCATAGGCAATAATTTTTCATTAGAATCACAGAAGTCTTGTTATCAGTGACAAAACTATTTTTTTTTTCTTTTTCATAAATTCTATTATTTACGTAAACAAAATTTTCATAAAATAAAAGTAGAAGAGTGCATTGCTTTTGTGGTCAACGTACATAACACACAGCCTACGGCCTTGATCTGTGTTTCAATTCACCACACAAATATAATTTATAAAAATCTTGAGCATGGTTTTAAACTTAGGATTGCCAAGACAATCTTTACAGACCATCTTATTTTTTCCTGTCGAATGAAAGTCATACTGTAACTTGCGTTTGATTGAAATAAATACTTTAGGACGGATGGATGCCTTTTGTCAAATAAACTGATAGAAATTGACAGTTCTCAAATTGCTGTGCAAGAGTATGCTAAAAGCGAGTTGTTTTTTTTTATAGATAGGTCCGACAAATGACTCCACCCCGCCTGTTGTTAAGTGAAGGTGAAGTCCAGACGCGAAGATAGCTGATACAGCAGTTCTACCCGCCACACCAGCCATCCTCACCCTGCCAGCCTGCATGTTGCTTCTTCACGCCTCTTTTAAAGGATCCCAGGTTGTAAGAAGGATTCCATTTACGGATAGTATGGGTAGAGTGAGATTTTAAATGTAAGACCAGCAGATATTAAAGAATCGGAACATTAGTCTAGCACGATTGCGGTGTAATGTACAGTGACCATGACCACCCTAATTTTCATAAAAAAGTATGTAGTTAAACAGGCAAATCTAAACGGGAAACATGTATACAATTTACCAGAGTTCCCCATTGGATACCTACGATTCGTTTCAAGTTCACTAACAATAATACTTCTACATAAAAACTAACTAGCATCTAAATGTTGATGGATGTAGAACATGAAGTGTAGGCTTTAACAGCTATCTATAATACAGTTTATTCATTACTACGAAGCATACATTTTAGTAATCTGCATGTTATTATTAATAACATCAGATTGAGATTTTCGTTATTACAACTAGGTACATAGTGTATAGATGGCAATCATAGCCATAAACACCAGAGAAAATTTATTATTTATGAATATAATACACACCAACAAAAATACAAAAAAAAGAAACAAATAGGGATAATTACTTTTTGTTCTAGTGAATGTGTATTGATATTCCTTTTTTCTATTAAATTACTCTTTGATTCCTATGAGAAAAATCCGTTAAATCTAAATGGGCAAGAATTGTAATGCAGCATTCCTCAAGTGAACAATTGATAAGTTTTTTTCAACTTTATGAGATACTATTATTATACGTCTGCCTTTGTTTTTGTTAAAAATCGAAATAGTAGTACATTTTATGTTTTTTTTAAAATTGTTAAATGGTGCGTGTCACAATGCAGGTACCTTCCATATTTTAGTTGTGAATCTATTATATATACTATATATATTGATGTTTAGATTTCATTTTTTTAAAATTTAATTTACAGAAAATCTGTATTTAGTTCATGCATACAGAAAGTCACATAATAATTATTATGTGACTTTCAAACATATTTCAAATTAAAAATCGCCACTCCTCTGGCTACTCAGACAGGTTTTAAATAAACGAATTCCGGATCGTTCAGACAAATTGTTGGTCCTCATTTGAGGCGAGCTTCTCTGTGTTACATCAAATAACGGATGTATATGATATATCTAGTAATTTAAAAATATAACCACAGCGATTCTGGCACTTAATATGCTTAGTACTTAATCAATCCAATTTGATGGTAGACACAGACACTGTCAACATTACATAACAGAAAGTGTGAAATTTTTACAAGCGACTGTGAATCTTATTTCTTGTTCAATAAAGCTCTTAATCGATAAAAGTGATTTAACAGTTATGGTTTACTTGAACTGTGGCCGTTTGGACTATAAATTATATATTCATATTATGTAAGAAAATGATATCAGGACGATTAAACCATTACATTATATTGATTTTACAAAAAATATTGTTTATTTAATGAGGTGAAATTGAAGATTGGCAAAAAGGTTGTTCGTAAATGTTCGTAATAATTTTTTCCTAACAGTTTCAGTTTTAAACATTTTTTTTTCTTTTACAGTTCTTTCATCACACTGTTATCTGTACGGACATAAGGCCTCATTCTGGCATGACTCATAATGTAGATAGACTTATGTTAACTTTACTTGGTGAGTCATGGTCTGTCCTTCCTATTCCATCTGTAGGGAAGGCGTGTTCTCCATAAGTGGGGACATTAACAGGTTAATGATGACGATCTCGTAATCAACTCTATAGTGAAAAGTATGTCTTAAATTATGCTGTAGAGAAATTAATTTAGAGAAACATGACAGAAATAGGCCTGATTACGGCTCCCTTCTTAGCAAAAAGGGTAAAGACGAACTAAACCATCATAACGCGTCCTCTGGGTTATTCATCCAAAATACAAAAATACTTAAAATTTCATTACAGAAATGAGGAAGGTACCACAGTCGAGACACGAGAAAGGATAAATAAATAATTTTATTTTTTGGGTTATCACGCACTCCAACCAAGACTAATAAAAACTAACTCGCGCTTGTACCCGTTCAAAAAGTGTTTTATTAAATTAGATAAATAGTTTCAAATAAAAATGATTTGAATTTACTTTATAGATTGAAACGAACTGAAATCCAACCCGAGACTAAAGAGTTAATAAACTTTATCTTGGTATGCCTGCATCGGGGGTCACGAACAACGTTAAGATTCGACACACGCTGATAGAAACGAGTATGTGTATATTTCTAGTCATTTTCAAACTCAAAGGTACTCAGTAAGCTTTAATCTTCCCTCGTTTGCCTAGGAATCATGACCAATGTAGGAGCCTCGTACTACGATTACGGCAACTTGAGGTAAGCTTGAATTTGCCTTGACTGCATATTTAGAGAACAAGAACAACGTTATAAGCTCTTTACAAGATGACTAAAGCGTTAGTATAATAAAAGTCAGCTCTAAATAATTGTGTATTTTGGCCTTCTTACATTAAGGATTAACTTTACAAGATTTTTTAACTTACTATAACCCTCGCATGGTAATTGCGGCAAGTTTGTAATATTTCAAGTCAATTACAAACTCGTAGGTTAACTTGTCATAACTGATCTGATCTGCTTTAGGCATCAGAATCAATAGTAAAGTGAACAAGTATAGCAAATTCTCTATTAATTTCTGCGCGCGTTTATATATTTCAAATCTCAAACTGTAAACTCGAGGGTAATCTTAGCCTATCTGTTTAAGAGATCATGAACAATTACAAGTTTTTTGCATAGTGTACCTATCAAGATTTTCAAGTCTGCAAACTTGTTGGTAAACCCGCATTTGGCCTGCCTGAGTTGGTGATTGGCTTGGCTGCATTGCTTTAGGGATAGTGAACAATTTTCTATAGTATTTATGTGATGCTGGTTTGTGTGTCGCCTGTAAGATACGGCAGGCTAGTATAAAGTATCGGCCTTACGACTCTCCGTTGGCGCTGTCATTGCCGTACCTACCAACATTTTCAAGTCAGCTGCAAACTTGGCCATAAACTCTAACTTGACTTGGGTTTTTTGGAGTTTACGATTAATTTTATATAGTCTTTATGTGTTGCTAGTTTATGTGCCGCCTGTAGGATATGGCAGGGTAGTGTAAGGTCTTAAGTATAGGGGGTGCGGCATGAAGACTCCCCGTTGTAGTACTTATCAAAATTTTCAAGTCAGCTGCAAACTTGGTCGTAAACTCTAACTAACTTGACCTGGATTTGTTGGGGTATATGATCAATTTTATATAGTCTTTATGTGATGTTGGTTTGTGTGTCGCCTGTAGGATACGGCAGGCTAGAATAAAGTTTCGGTCTTACGACTCCCTGGTGGTGCTCTAGTCATCGTACCTATCAACATTTTCAAGTCAGCTGCAAACTTGGTCGTAAACTCTAACTTGACCTGGATTTGTTGGGGTTTATGATCAATTTTATATAGTCTTTATGTGATGCTGGTTTATGTGTCGCCTGAAGGATATGGCAGGCTAGTGTATGGTATAAAGTATCGGGGGCGCGACCTCACGACTCCCCATTACCGCTGTCATCGCCGTCTCCCTCGCCTCCTTCCAACTCCTCGTCGGAATCAGTGTCGAGATCATCGTAATCGTCATCGTAGAAATCAGTCATGTCCAACTGAAAATAGTAAATATAAAAATTAAGTGTGTCGTTTCAATTATCTCTATTTCGCCGGGCCGAAACTAATCCCCTTTGCCCAAAAGCCCGCGAAGTCCTGGATTAGGTTCTTCCTGATTATCCAGTTACTTCAGAACATATTTATCATCAGCCTATTAATGTCCCCACTGCTGGGGCAAAGGCCATCCCTATGAATGGAATAGGGAGATTGGGCCATGACCCACCACGCGGGCCCGGTGCGGATTGGCGGGTGCTAACGACTGCAGATGCAGTCAGGACCAACGGCTTAACGTGCCTTCTGAAGCACGGAGGAACTCGAGATAGAAGATTTTTGGTCACCCGTCCAATGACTGACCACTGCGAAAGTTGCTTAACTTCAGCGATCGCAGTCGAACGCGCTAACCACTCGTGCAATCGAGCTCCTCCAAAGAATAAAATACTTATATTAAACCAGCATCAGATAGGAGATCTTTTACCACTCTTACATAATTGCTTAAGAAATATAATTAAGAAAGCAACCAACCTGTGGCTCCTGCGTCGTAGACTTGACTTGAGTTTTGATGCAATAGTCTTCTAAAGTGAGCGGCACAACTATGCCTTCCTTTTCCGCCTCCATGCGCGCGACCTGCGCCTGTTTCCTGAAAAAAAAAAACTCAACGTAAGCATTACGAGCCCTTACCGCCAAATTATCGTAAGCGACACTCGCCAAATTATCGTAAGCGACACTTTTGTCGAAATGCGTTTTTTGTGGAAACTAATATTTTAAATCGTAACGGACCCATTTCTGTTGATATTTCCCTCCAAAAGAACACCGTTATAATATAATAGAGGGAAGAATAGAGGGAAATATCAACAGAGATGGGTCCGTTACAGTTTAAAATATTAGTTTCCACAAAAAACGCATTTCGACAAAAGTGTCGCTTACGATAATTTGGCGAGTGTCGCTTACGATAATTTGGCGGTAAGGGCTCGATTAATTTGTAGCGTTGTTGCAGTGAGCGTAGACCGTTATGGAAGTGTGGTTCGAGGAAACAACTCGCATTCTTCGAGCATCGGTTATGTATACTTGGAATTTTTCTTGGCATAGAACAAACCCAAAATTGAGTGCATTCTATTTGTACCAGCTAACCTCAGGCATAAAAGAGCATTGTTAACCGAACTCAGATTGTGCAACTATAACAATTTCCGATGGCGAAAACTACTTTATCTCGTGTTTAGTATTTTAACATACACTTCTCGTTAAATTTATCCAAACACTATCTTCATGAAGAATAATCTTCTCAAATATTTTCATTTCCAAATCATAACAACATCTTAAGTTACGGAAGATAATGCGTAGGTGGCTCGTTATCTGTGCAGATAAGTCATTTTAATTGTAATTTTTAAAGCTCTTGATTCTTCAGAAGATGTAGGCCAGTAGATATACTGAGAAACGTATTGTGATGTAAAAAACTAAGATTTGTTTTCATCACAAGCATGATAAGCGTAATTAGTTAATTCACCCGCTGGAAAATTTCTCTATAATATCGAAAAGAATATACAATATACATTATGTACCTTAGCAAATAAAAATATAACTACAATTGCTATTTCCTCTTTCAAATGTTTGATACTTGTAAAGGTGTTTCTTTTGACATTGGGAAGAGATAAATAATAATAAATAAATATTTCCAACATTCACACCAATTAGCCTAGCCCCAAAGTAAGCACTATAAGGCTTGTGTTATGGGATACTAGGGTAACGGATAGAATACATATACTGTACATATTTAAGTATATTTTTTTTATAGAAATACATATTAAACATCCATGACTGGAGTACAAATGCTCGTATTCATCACACAAACAAATGCTCTCACCGGGATTTGAACCAGGGACCTCTCGAGTCGGCAACACCATGAAACCCGGCGTACAAACTGAGGGAATGAGTTGCCTTCGTCCGTGGGAGTCTACCCTTACTCCGTTTCCCCACACGTGATCCCTGGGTGGTGCAAACCAGGCAACAACATACTGGTGGTAGGCTTAAGCCGGGGCTAGTGACCACCCACTGTGACTGAGTCGTGCCGCAAAGCGGCCCAGCCGCGTTCCGGCGCGTAGTCCAGTGACACCGTTTGGGAGGATGGGTCGAGATAATTGCTTTTTGTTCGTGACATTGACCGGTTTCTAGAGACATCGATGCAGAGACACCTCGTATCTAGTCCCGGAGTCTAGCGGGATCCGAGGCACGGTGCACCGCTGGCCGACCGCAGGTAGCAGGGGACCCGACTAGTAAGCCAGCCCCTCACGAAAGGCTGTCCCGCCAACTAGCGAAAAATCCCGGGGATGCGCCATCGTGCCGGTTGGCGACCGGACGAAAGGGCCCGATGGACATCCCTGGGGGGCTCGGGCATCCCCGCAGCCTCCGGACTAACTCCCTTCGGTGCCTGTCTTCTGTATGTCTCTAGGGTTAGCTACGCAAAAGTCTCATCTCACTGCCATCTACCACCGAATTTCACTCTTCGCTAATATGATATGTCGCATAATAAGAAAAAAAGGGTTAAACAGCGGTTGCACGCCCTTTCACTTAAAGTACACCTCTCAAACATCCGAGGCTTGCACTCCAATCTCGACGCGGTCCATCATCACCTCGAGACCGAGAAAACCGCTCTTATTGTGCTGACGGAGACGCAGATCAAATGTCCATCCGACACGGCGTATTTGCTGTACCCGGGTTACAGCCTTGAGCATAACTTTAAGGCTCGGGCTGGGGTGTGCTTGTACGACCGTGACGACATTTGCTGTTAGCGCCTCCGTAACCTTGAGGACCGCAGATTTTCGGTGCTTTGGGCGCTGGTGGACACAGGCATTGAGAAAATTCTCTATGGCTGTGTCTACCGTTCGCACAGCGGTGATCAGGAGGCAACTAGGCTCACAGAATACCTCAGTGAGGCGGCTGATTCGCCTCAACAGAAGTTCCCATCGGCCCAACTAGTGCTTTTGGGGGACTTTAACGGACACCATCAAGAGTGGCTGTTCCCATACCGAGACACCAACCACGCTGGTAGAGAGACGCGTAAGCTCGCTTTGGCGTTAAATCTCACTCAGCTGGTTCAAGGCGCTACTCGGGTACCTGACGCTGAGTCGCACACACCTTACTGCTTAGACCTTCTGCTGACAACTGATCCAGACCGGTACTCAGTGACGATATCGTCACCGCTTGGTAAATCCGACCATTGTCTGGTGAAATCTGTATCCGTCTATTCCCCATCTGACCCAAGCCCTAGAGGTAGTCGTCGGATGTGGCGATATAAGTCAGCAGATTGGGATGGGATGCGGTCATTCTTTGCATCCTATCCTTGGCAGCCAGTCTGTTTTTCTTCTGGGGACCCTTCGACTTGCGCACATGCTGCGACAGATGTGCTGCGTCTGGGTATGGAGTACTTTATTCCATACTCCGATGTATCTCTATTCGGCAAAGCTCGCCCCTGGTTTGGACCTCAATGTGCTCGCGCTGAAATGCTGAAGCATGAGGCATACCTAGCCTGGGCTGATGCTCGACAATGCAAGGCTAGGGATACTCACATAAGCCGTGTAGGGCACAAGCTCGCTTCGTATCCCGCGGGAAGTAAAGCGTTCTGGTCCCTGGCAAAGTCGTTCTCTCTTTCACCTCCTGGCTGTTTGACTCAAATGTCAGAGTTCAAAATTCGCCAATCTGAGGTACGAAAAACGCTACGCAATCTGGACGTGCATAAAGCTAGTGGTCCCGATGGTATTCCAGCCATTGTCCTGAGGTCTTGTGCGCCTGAGTTGACTCCTGTCTTGATGCGCCTCTTTCAGCTCTCCCTTGCAACTGGTAAAGTGCCGAGTTCTTGGAAGCTTGCTAACGTACAGCCTGTACCCAAGAAGGGTAGTCGTGCTGACCCTGCTAACTACCGGCCTATTTCAATTACGTCCATACTCTGTAAGAGTACTCTGTAAGAGTATGGAACGTATTTTGAACCACAGGCTCCTGGCGTACCTAGAATCTAACTACCTCCTAAACGACCGACAATATGGCTTTCGCCGGAATCGGTCCACGGGTGACCTTCTAGCGTGCGCCACGCACATATGGAGTGAAGCCATCGATCGAGAAGTACGGGGAAGCTCTAGCAGTTTCTCTCGATATTTCCAAAGCCTTCGACAGGGTCTGGCACGACGGTCTTATTAGCAAGTTATCCTCATACGGCCTGCCTACTGTGCTTTGTGCATGGATTTCAGACTTTCTGAGGGATATGTCTATTCGAGTTGTAGTGGATGGTTGCTCCTCGGATCTTTGGGCTATCAATGCCGGTGTCCCCCAGGGGTCGGTACTCTCTGCAACGCTGTTTCTGCTGCACATTAATGATCTCCTAAGACCCGGTATCTTTGGGTATGCAGACTACAGCACAGCTGTAGAGAGCTATATATCCACCGCGCGAGCCAGTGCGACCGAAATCCAGTCCCATAGGGAGGCCATGGTCGAGCGCTTGAACCTTTCTCTTTTGGCGGTCCCCGATTGGGGCGATGCCAATTTAGTTGGGTTCAATGCTGCGAAAACCCAGGCGTGTCTTTTCACCGCAAAAAAGAGGCCATTTGATCTGGCCCCTACTTTCCGGGATGTAAGCGTACCGATCACCGACCATCTCGAGCTACTCGGTATTTCATTGTCACCAACCCTCAACTTTGGCTCGTACATTGAGTCCAAGGCCCAATTAGCAGCCAAGAAGTTGGGTATCCTCTCGAAGGTGCGACGATACTTCAAGCCGGAACAGTTGCTTATATTATATCAAGCACAAGTTCGGTCGTGCATGGAGTATTGTTCGCACCTCTGGGATGGATCGGCTAAGTATCAACTTGCGGCGTTGGAGGCAATTGAGAAACGAGCGATAAAGCTCATTGGAAATGACGCGCTTTGCCGGGCAAAGTTACAAAGCCTGGAACACCGACGCAAAGTTGCCAGTCTTTGGGTGTTCTATCGGTTACATTTCGGTGAGTGCGTAGAGGAATTACATGAGCTAATTCCTCCCGCCCCTTTCTACTACTGGACGAGCAGGGAAACGGCAAGGCGACATCGATTCACGGTGGCAGTTCCAAAGACTCGCACTAAGCGATTCGCTTCTAGCTTCATCGTGCGGACTGCCAAACTGTGGAATTCCTTGCCTGAGCCCTTGTTCCTCGAGCACTACAATCTAGCGGTCTTCAAAGCAAGAGTGAACCGGTTTTTATTAGGTAAGCGCGCTCCATCGTAGACCATAATATTACTTTCCATCAGGCGAATTATGGTCAAGCACTTGCCTATTACCGAATAAAAAAAAACCACTCGGCCAAGGAGGTCGTCAAATGTATGGCGTTGCCTTGCAATGGCGTATTAATTTGACATTTAGGGTTACATACAATGCGAAGAGATGGCGCTGCCTTGCAGCTTAAAAATACTAGAACGAATTCGACACGGCCATTAGAGTCGCGGTAGCATAATGGTCAGTGCATATGCCCATAGAGAAGACTGCGGGTTCGGGTCCCGTCTGCTGCCTGGGGCTCTTGGATTTTTTTCTAATAAAATTTACCTAAGATTTAAACATCTAGCAGAAACATGCCTAAATAAGAATATACCTGATCCATTGACCTTAGACTATGCAATATTTTTCTACCTTTAATCCTCTATATTTAACGTGCCAATTAAGAATTATTAAAGAAACATTTCTCATAGTCAATAACATGTAAAGTAATTTTAAACGCTTGCTACTTTAGTAGGTACCTATTATGGCAGATTATAAAAAAAATCTATAAAATGACTACAATTCCGATAAAATGGTACAAATCAATTGATGCATGTAAGAATTAAAATCAAATATCCAATAACATGTAATATTTACCGTAAGATATTTAAAATGTCGTAACATCATACAAGTGTTTATGATCTAATCATAAGTATTTACCTGATATGTTTTCGTACTCCTTGTCCTTGTCTTTGTAGTTGTGCCAGCGGCGGTACATGATGCTAGCGTCGACATTGGCAGGACTAAAGGTGTTGGGCTCGTTGAGCTGGAAGATCACTGACAGGAGGACTAATATATGAGCTAAACAAATCATCTACATAGTTACCTGATAATGTTTTCGTGCTCCTTGTCCTTGCCTTTGGAGTCGCGCCAGCGGCGGTACATGACGTAAGCGTCGACATTGGCAGGACTCAAAGAGTTGGGCTCGTTGAGCTGAAAGATCACTGACAGGAGGACCAATATATGTGCTAATAAACAAATCATTTATATAGTTACCTGATAATGTTTTCGTACTCCTTGTCCTTGCCTTTGGAGTCGCGCCAGCGGCGGTACATGACGCTAGCGTCGACATTGGCAGGACTAAAGGTGTTGGGCTCGTTGAGGAGGGAGATGACTGAGAGGAGGACGGTGCGCACCGACTGCGTCGGGTTCCAGCGCTCGCACGGCAGCTCGCCCGACTGCGGGTCATCCACGGGCGGGTGCAGGATTGATATACATAGGTCACCATTCTGGAATTAAAACGTTTGCCATGAAACAAGCTAGTTTTTGACCATTTGGAGTTTGGGTTGTAGCGTGCAATTAGGCACCCGTTGCATTTAGTTGAAAATTGTAATGTAACTAAGTGAATTTTGTGCTATACGCTATACCTCGATTATCAACTTTTAAATTCAAATTGGTACTTATAAAAATTAAATTTATCCACGAAGATCAAAATTTATGAGTTATGTTAAATTTGTATTTACAAACTTTATTTACTGACATAATTGTCAGTTTTGCGCAAGAGAGCCGATTATAAAATCTTCATATTTAATGCTTCATGGTACGAGATTTAGATTTCATTTTCGTTGTGCCGTGCCGCAGAGCATGCGTAACTCGGCCGGCGGAGTTACATAAAGCCGTTGTTAAAGTTTACTGATTAACCGGAGTCGTCATAACAACATTAGCATTGGTTACGACTCCGTCTAGCTATCAGATTATGATTTTAATGTTATAGATTTGCACAAATGAACCCTTGAGGTTCTATGTAACTGAAATTACAACCAAGCGTTTGCGTTAATGTATGTTTAAGGATAGGAAGCGTTTCCTGGTGGATGTCAATAATATAAATAACAAACTGATAACTTTGTGAAAGTGCGAGTCATATGGTTGAGTATTTTGGCAATATTTAAAAATTAAAATGTTTTTGGTGAAATACACACATCAAAAGTGTCTAGGGATCAAGCATTTTTATGCGGATTTCTTGAGATTGAGATGTGGCTTTGTAATAAATTTATGATTTTATAAATTTATATGGATCCTTTTTGGTGCATTTCATAATTTGAATCAGGAACTGTGAATCAAATTCGAGTAAAAGATGAAAATCAGCTGTCAATATTTTCCCTATAAAAACATACAACGCATTGAAGACATTATTAGTGCTACTGTTTCCCTACTACTGATTAAAACCAACGTTATTATGGAGCGGCGACGTCATTTAAGCAGGGAAGAAATGCTCAGAGCCGTGGGAATGATAGAAGCTGGTTCCCGGCAACGTACTGTGGCTTTAGCTCTGAATACAAGTCAGAGTGTTATCAGTCGACTTTGGACACGATACCGAAGCACTGGTACCGTGGCTGAGCGCCATGGAGGACGGTATCGCTGCACCACACGGAGACAAGACCGATACATTCAAATCTTAACTTGAAGAGCTCCAACAATAACCGCCATGATGTTAGCCGTGAGGCTTCATCACTCTTCAGGGAACTTAATTAGCGACCAAACAGTCAGAAACCGCTTGCATGAAGTGAACCTTCATTCCCGAAGACCGCTACGGGTACCACCTATAGCAATGCACAATCGTAGGATTCGATATCAATGGGCTCTTGAACACAGAAATTGGGCAGAAGAACAATGGCGTTTCGTGTGCTTTTCTGATGAGTCTCGTTTTGGTATGAGACCGGATACAAGACGTATACGACACTGGAGAACCCCTGGACGCCAACAGCGATTAAAATCCTGCCAGAAAGTCCATCCTTATAGTGGTGGAACCATCATGGTATGGGCGGGTATTTGGATCGGCGGAAGAACTGAGTTGATTTGGATCAGAGGCAACCTCAACGCTCAAATTTATGCTGAGACGATTGTATCAGACGTCATCGTTCCTCTACAAGTGCAAATCGGTCCCTTATTTCAGTTAATGCATGATAATGCACGACCGCACACCGCAAGAGTTGTAAGACAGACTCTCGCCGCAGCTAACATCAATGTCCTGCCCTGGCCTGCTCAGTCGCCAGACTTGAACCCGATTGAGCATGCATGGGATATGCTACAGAGAAGAGCTCTGCCGAATATGGAGGGTATCCAGTCGCAAGAAGACCTTTTTTTGTTATTGCAACGAACATGGGCGGCCATTCTACAGCGTGATTTGGATGAACTCATTTTGAGTATGCCAAACCGATGTTCTTGTGTTGTCAGTGTTCGCGGTAGAAATACGGATTATTAATTGTTTAAGTTACCCAATAAAATTTTAGAGAAAACTGTTATTTCAGTCTTTTTTTCGAACTTTTGTGTTAGTGGTTCAAATGTCAAAAATCCCTTTATTAGGAAAATGGCAAATTTCTTTATTAATGCAAAGGTGACTTGGTTTATCGTTACTGTGACAAACGAAAACACTTTATTTGATGAATCCTTAAAGAAAATTTTAATTGATATCAATCAGGAGAAAAGTTATTGCAAAAATATATGTTGATCCCTAGACACTTTTGATGTGTGTAATTAAAATATTTAATGATTAACATTATTGAAGCAAAATGGAACCTCATAAACATCGATTACATTTTAATTTTATTTTGTTCGTTCATGAAATATTTTACACAATTCGTCCTTGGCTAGAATATAACGTTACTGAGTGGCATTACAGTTATGTAGACAAATGAATTCATGGTTGAAATTTGTATACAAAACAACTGAGCATAAACATTCGTTATAAAAGTAAATTCGTGGACCTGTTTTTTCATCATACAAGCAACGCAACATGCATTATTTTGTCAACATTATTGAACATTTCTTTTGGTTTCTAAATGAATCTCAGTAGGTTGACTTACACAGGCGTTGTTGGTTGATTATATTTAAGTAGGCAGTGCTCATTGTATTCGCAGACAAAAGCCCGCGGGTTAATGATACCAGTTTAGTAAAAACATTACTCATATACGTTTTTTCATACTATAATCAGAATAAGTTAATATGATGGTAAAATTTCTTGGCCATACCCCCCATACGCAAGAAATCTAGCAATACTTGGTCATTAGATAAAATATTTAGAGTAATCTGAGGAATGAACTAAAATTTTAATGATGTGGTTTCACTTGCAGCAATTTTGCTAAATCTCGATTTAACTAAAACCAAATTTAAGCCATACAAGAATGTCTAAATGATTTTTGTATAAGCTACATAAATCTAATTCTAGTTTAATCGAGATTAATAATATTTGCATAATCTCGATTCGACTAAAACTAGACATAATTATCCTATAGATAAATGACAAAACTTAAATGACACTTTGATATTTTTCAATGTATAAAATCCAGTTTTAGTTGAATCGAAAAAAAGATCTTGATTAATTCACGATTAGCCTTTATTGGGCGGCCCAGTTGACGAGTGCTCAGAAAACTTGAATTAATACTTTGACGACTTCTAATCCAGCAACTGCTTGTATTATGTAGTTGTGTACTTGTCGCAGTAATATTAACTATCAATATGTTCGAAGATTCGAAGAAGACTATCTTCACATCTGGACTTCACCATCACTTAACATCAGGTGAGGTGGAGTCATTTATCAAACCTACCTATAATAAAAAAAGACAAACTTACTGATCAAATCATAGTTTGCTGTCCAGCGTGGGAGGAGACGTAATTTTTTTTTCTATCATAGTAAATTTATAAGAACAACAGGCAACAGAGTGGCGCGATCTTTCATTTTTACGTAATTTCATTAGTGGATAGCAAGGACTTTGCTGATTTTCACCAAGACACCACCAATAGCAAGTTGTTTGTTTTACAAAACATATCAAATTATTTATTAGTATCAAATGTACTTCATTAAAGCAGTTTTGTTAATAGTCTTATCTAAAATATTTGAGGAAGAATAAATAATATAGATTCTTATGACGGTACTAATTTACTTGTAGTGAATTATGTGTAGGAGGCAATATCATTACATTTGCCTAATCATCTTCTATTATAAGGGTTAAACGACTGGAAAACCAAACCTATCGTTGGCAAAAGGTCTTTGCTCTTTAATGAACTGAAAAATACTTTCATTATTTCAATTGTGCTATTCAACGAGAACTGTTCTATTTATTATTAGTACTGTTTAGATGTACAAATAATATTCCCGACCAGCTCATTAGTAACGGCAAAGAATATATATAATTTCCGGCAATCTGTATAATTCAGGTATTCTATACAATATCTAGGCAATGGTATGAAAAATATTATTTAAATTTTATCATTTGCCTAGATCAGCGGTTTTTAACCGGTGGTCAGCGGACCGGGGATTGTAAAGAGTACCCCGCCAGCATCGTATAAGTTAACAGATTTTGGCCTGTATTTTATCCTAATCAAACCTAACCCAGCCTACCCAGTTGGATAAAAAAATATGTTTTTCTTAATAAGAAGTGAAGAATATAAACAAATTATTATCACATATCACGAAAAAAGGAGTCTCGTATGTATATACAATGATCTGCCATTACCTATATTCGTATTTTTCTTGTTATCATTTATGATTGATCTTGAATCACAATTATGTGGTAATAAAGCAATACAGTATCAACTTACATATGACTAGTATCTTAAGGACATTACAAAACAGAGTTTTACTGATCAAATATGGTATTAATAATATCGTATAAGTGAGATCCGATTATACAATTATTGATCGATACAATGTTCATCAAAAGTATCATAAATATCAAATATAGAATTGGGAATGTGGACTGGACTGTGACGATATAGAATCTTGGTATCTTTAAAATTAGTGATTATTGCTGTGTGGATTGCCAAGTTCAAAGACGCTTAAAAATAACTGTTCTCGATGGTTACATATTACAGATGCAAATAGTAGCAATGTTGCGTATGTATAGCAGATATGAAAAGTTATAAGGCCAATATAACAAAATTAACAAATCTGTAAAACAAAAATGTGCATAAGTAGTAAATATCTGCAAAATCAACGCGTAGAAGATTTTCGACTCATAATTCAATAAAATTTAATTGATTATAAATTAAAATAAATGGCTTTTTTATCATCTCCCGCCTCTTTCCTTTCGGATATTCTGCATTTTGAGAATTTAGGAAATCTTACTCTCTTTTTTAGTCGCAAACATTCACATCACATTAACTTTCGACTGCAGATTTCTCTAGAGTGAAATAAATTAGGCGACAAATACAGCCTCACAGATTTTATTAATGCGGAACTAAATTCTTTTGTCACTTTTATGCAACAAAATAATTATTATTGTAAATGAAG